ACAAACAAATCGAACAAAAGAAATCTGTTCCCTCACACACAATAGAAAGCTGATTTAAGTCTGTGTAGTTATCAGCTGACAGTTGCAAGCTGGAGAAAGGCCAATAAATAATTTAGATTCTGCAGTGAACGTAGATCACTGACTCTCCACATGCACCCAAACACACCGAGGTCCCTCGCTCTCGCTTTCTCTGTTGCAGGTCGTGTCTCACTTTGTCCCCGTCTGTCCCTCCTAACCACTTATATACTGTAGATATGTGCCTCAGGACACCACTCGCAATGTTGCAAAGGAAGTGGCAAAAACACAAAGAAATGGAATTGGAAGTAACACATTTAACAAGCTTCACATCAATCTATATTTCTATAAAGGGGAGGTAGGAAAGGTCAGTCAATCTTACAACTTTCTTATAGTATATTGGAAACAGAAGATGAGGGTAGAAACAGCTCGGCCGCGATACTGAACGCAGTCTCGAATTGTCATTTGATCTGTCATCGATTTTCAGGTCTTGGGGTCAGATATGGACCTGAGATATCGCACACAACAAATACATACACAGTAACTCCAGGGGTCCACAGTTAAGCACTAACTAACGGCATGCTATAAAGTCCATTAACACTGTTTCTTTTCCAACTTCCCATCTTCTGATTACGGGTGGTTCATTTATAGGACAATACTCGTATTATATTTCCCATTGATGTTGTCACTAAAGATAGCAAGATCATATATTGACTTCCTCTCCATTTACAGTGCAGAAATACACACTTAAGTGTATGCTGATGATGCAGCCAACAACACCATACAGTGTGTGTAGTGTAGGAGGGGACGGATGTGTGTGAGTACTGAAATGATTGCCCTGCAGATGTGTACAATGATCTTGTAAAAATCCATTTTTAGAGAGGCATAGTTTACAATAACTCCTGGTATGGAGTCAAGGTCGAACGGGCATTTAGGGTCAAAGGTCACTCGGAAAAGGCAGTGCGGTGTTTCATTTCCATGTTACGTGATATGTTAGTGTCCTAAGCACATTATTAAGGGCGTCAGCACAAACGCAATGCTGTATACACCCTTTGCAACAGATATGGATCACGTAGAAGCGGGATACAGAAACATCCCAGATTAGCTGTCTCGCCTCAGCAGAACAGTAAACAGAGAGCGTAACACTCCTGATAAGGTTTTCAAGCTGGTTCCTTGTTGCTGAATAAAACCACACAGCCCCAGTCTCTGCCTTTTGACAGGAGGGCGTTAGGCTCCAGTGTAACAATAGCTCGCGTTGGAGCTGACTGCTCGTTTTGCTGAATTAGGCTTCTCACAACTTTGTTTCTTTCAGAGAGTGCTGGACAATAAAGGCCAACAGTTCTTACAACATGGGACTTTTCTGTTTGAGAAAGAAGGTGGTGATCATATTTCATTGGATGGTGAGGGTCTGGTCACTCACGCACACACTGACGTGAGGGAGGGAGGCACACATTACCAAATACCATACAATGAGTTTCGAGTATTATCATCAAGGGTCATTATCATCAACACTAATTAGTTCATCTTTATGCGACAACAAAATAAATGTTCCTCCTCTGAAAGAGATTTTACAACAAAGGTATGGAAAGCTAAATGTTTAAGATGGTGAGAAGATGTAACCAGGTTTATTGCACGGTATTATTGCTGTAATTCAACGTACAAGTAAGTGATGAATGCAGGTATTAATTGTATTTAACAAGGCTTTACTTTCCTACCACTTTTTTTCAAATAAGAAAAACGGCCCAGTAACACCCTGCCCTCTGTAATGCTAATTCTAATTAAACAACCAAATATCCGGCTACTGTACCTAAATGTGGATGTGAGGGAACAGTTATTTATATGGTTCTCCCGTGGGTCCAGTCAGTTCACGACTAAATAAAGCTGCAGGTCACAACTTTGCTGAATAGTGTGTGAATCCACTAAGATGCTTACATCTGGAAAATCAAAGGACTGTTCAGTGAAACATCGGTTACTCAACATGCATCTGGTAACACTTCTGTTCCTTCCAATGAATCAATCACAGTGAGGAGGTTTTAAATGAGTATTATTTTGTGGCTAATCTTATTTTTGGTCTATTGGTCAGTGAGGTTATCCCAACTGTAATTGTGTCTACCCTGAGCATTACTGTTATTCATATTATTATTATTATTATTATTATGGGACAGTTACACAGCTGCAGCGCACGTGATATATTTAGCTTAAATGTTGATAAAAATAGAAACAAGATGTTTGTTGCCAATGATAATCAATTAAAATCAATCTGCAATAGATCAAATATCAATTTTCTCACAATTATTTGGATCTAAGAGATGTGGAACCACCGTTAGAACCAGTGAGGTGAGAGAACAGTGACTGGTGAGACCCACTTGGACCCCACAGTGGGTTCTGCAGTGACTGGAGGTGACCTTATGATTGATAAGGGGGATTGTCACCACCGCTCCCTGCAGGGAGAGGACCAACTCAACCGTCTCCAGCTTTAGCACATTAATCCATTCAACGGACATTTGACAAAACAAAAAAACAAAAAAACTGAATGAAACTTTTCCTGGAAAGACTTTCAAAAGATTCTGTGGATTTTAGAAATATCGATTGAAGGAGGTTAGAAAAAAACTTAAAATAGAATTTCATTATTAAAAGCCATTTTGTTCCGAAAAGCCTCAGCTGGGTTTGATTTCCCACATCAGGCCACACAATGACATCATCTGTATCTCAAATCTGCTCAAGATTGGACAATATAATGTGAACGTTTTCCCTGAGAGGGCGATGCAATGTTCTACAAGCCACACTCGCATATATTGCGATTCAATAAACATCACCATAAAGCACAACTTCAGATATTACCAATAAATTGAATCAATACCCTGACACAGCAACTATTGGACATTATAAGCTTCACAAAGAGTTATTGGAGAGCTGTTGTGTTGGATTACATTAGACCTGTGTTCATGTTATTATACTACCAGAAGGTACATCACGGGATTGTTGGGACTGTGTACCTGAAAGACCCAAAAGAATCCCAAATAGATACATACAGATGAAATGAAACCCCCCCTGAACAGCTGCTTTCTAGATCACCAGAGAGCAGTCGTGAGCTTCTCCTTATAGGTTCTACTTCTTACATCGAAGATTAGATTAACCTGATAACAATCCCCCCCTAACTCATTCGTATCACAGCGCTTTGTATCTCTTTTCTTAATGTTTATGAATATTCACAAACAAAATGCTAGAGTTATATATACTGTTAAAAAGAAATGGAAAAACGTTTTGTACAAGGAGATCATTTTTGTGTACCTAAAGACTTAAAGCTGGATGGAATATGACGGCTTGCCCAGCAGAATGGAATCCAGCCTTCTTTCATTTCACACATCCGCTATTCCTACTGTGACACGTCCAAATGATCTATCGTAACATACCACTCACACTAACTTCAAAATAACAAGCTCCATCTTCAGCCACCATAAAAAAGCCCTATCGCAAAGGCAAATTCAAAGAAAAGCTTGTTTCCTTCTAATTTCTACCTTCCGTACATGTTGGATTCCAGAAATCGCAGCGCCCATTTTTATTTTTTTTTAGTTCTCCATTTTATTAACAGCACCTTCAACGTTTATATTTTTTTATCTCAGCATTAAGTTAACGATCTATTTTTTTTCTTCCTTTAATTCTATCGTTACAGCATCCAAACACAAGTATATCCTGACTAAAAACCAAATTAAAACCCCCAACTTCCTCCCCAACCCAGCGCTTTGTTTAACTAGAAAGACAGAAGATTGTCCAGAAGACTAGAAAAACATTCATTGTTCAACAGTCATTAAATCGCTGTTATAGTTTTGGGGGGAAATAAATGAACTAATATACAACATTTACATTTCCAACACACACGTCAGCCATTTGAAAGGTGAATAGACAAGATTCAGAGGCACTACAAGGAGCTCCTGCATTTCACCAGAGAAACCTAATTAGTGTGTGTATGTCACGGCTCAAGCATCAGCATGGATCAATACAATTAATCCAATTCCCCCTCTCGTCATTAACACTCACACAGAAACTTACTTCAACATGTACATGCATCCACACACACACACACACACACACACACACACACACACACACACACACACACACACACACCAATCCAGAAATTGAAAATGCTCTAATGACTTCCTCCCCTGAATGGTGCGATACGAGCTGCTTTCATGAAAAATGAAAACGCAGGGAACTGCTGGAAACGTATTTAGTGGTTGTTGTACATAGACACACACTTTCAGTGACACCTGCAGCATGTGTGATTAAAATGTGTGTGTGTGTGTGTGTGTGTGGATTAAATACTGTGTTAATGCATAAGTTAAAAGCCGACTATATTCACGCTTAAGTGCCCTCTCTCTCATAAACACACACACACACACACCATATCTAGAAAGACACCTGCATCATGCTGATATGGGAGCTTGTGTGTCCATCACTGCAAGGCTAAACACACTAAATGGTTTATTCTCATTTCTCTAGGTCTCTCCCACCTGTCCTCCCCTCCCCCTTCTCCTGTTTCTCTATAGCCGCACGGGGCGCTGGGCCTATACTGCAAATCCCCCCCTCACCATCACATATTACTACCACCACCAAACACTCAGCCATCACACACAGGAAACGTATATCAAGCAGGTCCCTGGTGACAGTGACATGGAATCACTAACAAATGTGATGGATGGTGATGGACAGCCTCATAAAAGGGGTCGCTGGGCCACGCTGCTCCTGCTCTTAATTAACCATAAACTACATGTCCGGCGTTTCCTCCCTCACCTCCGGCGGCACGTGGACTCACGCACAGCCGTCTGCTCGGCACACCTTTGTTACGAGAGCTGAGAAAAGGACGTGAGAAAAGACGTGAAGCCCTGGAGCAGACGTGCATGTACGTTGGGCCTACCTGATCCTCGGGCAGGGGCTACAGAAAAAGCAGCTGTGCTCACCACACAGCGCCAGGTAAAGGATATGGCCATTCGGTGATCTTTTTGGCGTATTTTCTGACGAAATTGTCCTCGCTGAAAATGAACAGCGAGCGGTTGACGGTGAAACAGTTCTGGCGCACGGGGATGGGGTTGTAGAGGGCCATGGTCCGGGCTCTCTGCGCCATAGACTGCTTGTACATTCTCTGGGTGCCCGGCCCTCCGGGTGGACCGTGTCCGTGCCCGTGACCGTGGGGTCCACCTTGCCTGCTCCCGCCTCGGCCGCCCGGACCCCCCGGGCCGGGCCCACCGCCGTACCGGGACTGTACCTCATTTTCGAACCGCGCCATTCTCTGGACACCGAAAGCCAATCTTCACGAAGCAGCGGAGAAGGAGACCAATGCTCAGCTGTGCAGCCACACAACATTACATCCCATTTGGATCAGAACGTCTCATATGCCAAAACGGGTTGTCTTGTTGTTTTAGCAGCCGGGGACGCCCATGTAGCCGAATGTCTTCCTTCCCTGCGCGTCTCCGCCAGCGGCCAATTGTGGGTGTGAAGACAAAAAAAAAAAGAAAGAGATGTGTTGGTCGACTGGCTCGCGGGTCGCACCGTGGGGTTGCTGCTGTAGGGTGTCTCCTTCTGGAGGGGGTTCTTATGTCAGCGTAAAGCAGAAATCGCCCCCCGACATGAAATCATGGGGAGAATGTAGCGCGTTAACATGAATGTTTCATGTCGTCCGTGGTTCATGGCTGCACCAGAGCGCACCGCAGCCTCCTGCACCCCGTCGGCACCGTTTATTTCTTTACTCCTACGACAGCAACGATGGGCTCTCCAGATGCCTCTGATATCACACGGGCCTCGGCAAAGGGGACTGTCGACAATGAGTCCAAAAACATTAATTGTCAGCCTTTAGCGATGCCCGTCCCCGACGTTCAACTTGACCAAAAAAAAGGGGGCATCGAAAAGGGAAAAGCCATGTAATTTATTTATTTAGAAACATCCGCAATGTTTGCCACGGGTTTGGCAATAATGTGGCTCCCGCCACCTCGCATTTGTTTCACCAGCGCGCTCCGACGAGCCTCGAGCCAATAAGGAAAACTGTGACATTTGCTAATAATGCGTCTTTTTCTCTCTCTCTTTCTCTCTCTGTCTCTCTCTCTGTCTCAGAGTGCACAATCTCGAGCAGGGAAGAAAATGAGAAATACCGTTTTCTTTTGAAATGTCGCTGTCATGGTGGTCGAGTGCTCTCGGAACGAATTCAATAACATCCTCCTCCGTTTCCTTTGCAGACCATCATCTTCTCTCCGTCACCTGCGCGGCCATCCAGGAGCCGAGAGAGGGGACGCACGGGCGGTCGTCGTCAGAGACGAGGGTACGACGGCCGCTTCTCCGCCGCCTCACACCCTCTCGTGTCCGTGGTCCGGCTGTTCGAGATGCAGCAGTGCCGAGAAAGCCCCTCACCATCCCCACCCCGAAAAGTCTACCTTATCGTCCGCACCGTTAAAGTCCCCCAAACGTCCTGGCAGAGCGTCCTTTCTCTCTCTCTCTCTCTCTCTCTCTCTCCCTCTCTCTCTCCCTCTCTCTCTCTCTCTCCCTCTCTCTCTGTCCAGGAGGAGGAGAGCAACAGACGGACAGACGGACTAAAATAGGTCCGTGAAGGGATGAAGAAACAACTGACAGGGAGGGGGACCGTCTGTTTCTTTGGAAATCGGGGGCCGGTGTAACTGAAATAACTCGCACTGCACGTAAACGAAATAATAATGTTGTCTTTCAGTTTGGGGTGAACCAAAAGAGAAAAAAAAAACCGAGAGCCCGCTGGGTTCTGCAACCGCAGCACATGACGCATGCAACTCGCCCAACTTCCAGGCGAGCGGCGCGCACGGAGGCATCGGCTTGGCTTGTTTATTTTAAGGCGCGTCGGGCCGCCCGGTTGGACTGAAGCGTTCCAGCCTCCCAACTCCAAATCAATATCAAATAACGGGTTAATTTAAAAAAAAAAAAGCCTGTTGGCATAGAGGATGAGGCGGCAAGTGCGTGACAGCGTTTCTCATTTCCACCTTTGTACGCTTCATAAAGACGTAATAACTATTAGAGCCAGATGTGCGCGGGTGTGTGGCGGAGAGGCGGGGTGTCGGCATCATGCAGCCTTGTGCAAAAGATGCAGCTGCAACCCGAACTGACAATGACTGCGCGCACACGGGCGCGTGAGTAAGTAGAGCGCGTGCGCGTCAACGTGCACGCGAGAGTCTGCCTGTGTTTGTTAGGGTGGGGAGGGGGGGGGGGGGGGGGGGGGGGGGGCGCTATTCTTAGCTACACACATTTGGAAATTAATGGACGACGAGAGCTCTCTCCTCCCCCCCCTCCCTCCCTTCCCGATTCGAGGATCTTCTTCCCTCCCTCCCTACCTCTCCTCTCCTATATCTTCTCTCCTATAGCTTTGCCAAAAAATGGTTCTTGCTCAAGGTCCAACCGTGTGCTTTGCGCTAAAGATGTACAATGACATAACATACAGGGGGAAAAGTCAGGAATGCAGAGAGAAAATAAGCACCAGGGTGTTTTAACATAATATTTCTATAGAATACACTTATTCTGTGCTCAAATCGGTTACACCGAATATCTTCGCTTTCAAATTAAAAACGTCCTAAGACGCCTGCTTCAGGCTGATTGCGGATTGTATTTTGATCTAAAAGGACGTGAGCTGAGCTCCCGGTGCCACATTAATGCCGAGGGAAGAGCAGAGGAAGGCTGCAGCCCAAAACATCAAGGGACAACATGCTTTTAATCCGTAGTGTGACCTCGTTGATTGTTCTCCACAGATAGTGAAGGGGAAATGATCACGCCCACACTGGCCTTGATGAGCAGAAGAACGAATACTCTTCCACAAGTTGTTCAATCAGGAGAGAGAGGCATTGCAAGTGCGTATGACAATGGATAAAAAGCCACCGTAAACGTCCATATCCAGACTGACCCCACAAAAGTTGAACGTAAGAACACAAATTGTATGTCGTCATCATAACCAGATGGATATATGCATACATTGAAACTTAAATACGGATCTGACACCGGAGAAACACGCTTTTGACAGCATGGAAGAAATGCTACCGTGAACAGCATCATGAAATCAGCACTCCTGCTCTAATGTGGTGGATGTGTCAGGACCACGGAGAGCACCCTCACAAACCATTCAGCGTCGCTATAGTGCAAGAACTCAGACCGTGGAGAGTAACACCATTAGCATAGCAGGTGCCAAACTAATGACCACCACCACTGCGGTTCAGGGTAAATGAATGTGAGGACTGTGAGGTGGTGGGATCTTATGCAGCAACTTGTCACTTGCGCCCAGTTACGGGATTACTAATCCCCAACCTCGACCACCGTAGCGTCTTCGCTTCCTGAAAGCATCTGGCACTTGTTAGTCAATTATTGCCAAAACGAACCTACAAGCCAAACACCCATTTGGGAGATGAGGGACCCGAAAGCCCTTCACTGCACCACCATTAGGGGTAAGACAATTGCCCCAACCTTCCACCAATTCTAGATCCTATTATTTGGTCTTTTCAATCTGTGGGTCTGGTCCGGTACCCGCTTCCCCAGTTACAGTTTGTGTGTCTAAATGCTTTCAGTGCAGTTTGCTACACACTCTCTTCTGTCAGCTGTCTGAATAAAACCCCCTGAAAACCCCCGAAACCACACAATGTAGTGAGAAACAAAAAACACAATGTATTTCAAATCCCAAAATGTCCTCCTATTTTACAGTCTGCTATGTCTTGTGCGCGTGTGTTTACACTTGGGTGTGACGATCTGTGAAATTATCTCTCGCCCTTCGGAGCCTTTGAGGAGCAGCGGCCTTCTGTCCAAACCCGTTATTCCACACAGGCGGCATCAGAAGCACTGAGGAGCAACAGCTCCAAGGCCCCCCATGGATAAAACCGTCTTACCTCTCAGGAGCACAAGCATTGTCACTATAGAAGAGGTAGAGATATATGCAACAATCCGTGTCATGTGTGTATCGTGGTGTCACATGATACTGTTTTCTTTCGTTCTACAGAAGTGTATTTTCTTTTTAAATTGGAGCGTAAATTGGAGGATACTTCAAACAAATGCAACACACTTCATTTAAGATATCCTTAAAATACAACAAAATGAAAATGGAATATGACAAAATTACCGTATGTGTACATAAAGCATGCATGTTTTTAACTTCAGATATTGTTTTACATTTTGCTTGAACGCTGAAATCTGCGAGGGAGCAGAAGCGCTAACTTCTCAAATGAAGGTAATGATTCAGCACAAGATGGAGGAAGTCAATAAACTTGGGGCAACTGTTTCGTTCTCAGTCGGATGTTTGAATGGTGGATGGTGGATGGCTGTGAGGCTGGAGCTCTAAGGCGAGTGTCGTGATTCAATGATTCATAAGGCTGAATAATTCAATGGTTGGATGCATGTAGAGCACTCCGCCCTCGCTGAACCTGGTCCTCCACAGACCCGATGCCGACTTGCAAGAAAACCTCTGCGAAACGTGCCTTCATTATACACAACGTATTGTGGTCGGTCAATGATACATTACAGTATGTCAAAAAACGCTACTTTCCCATTGTCATACCACATCTTAACTAAGGGGAAAAGCCGGCTTGTGTCACAGGCTGTATCTGGTTGAACTCTAACTGAAGCTTAATCTAACTGGTAAAGATGCCGAGTGGTTTCTGCCACTACACCACGAGAAAATGACACGGATTGAGAGAAGAACACACTGGTCAAACGCACAACTAGACGTTCTTCCCCATCTCTCGCTGCTTTCCTATGGTCCACCTCACTTAGCTTAAGAGGGTATTCGACAGAGTTAGCATTTCAATTCTGAAACAATGTTGGACTGTTTAAGAACAACTGCAATTTGACAGATTTCCCACTGTGGCCACAACATACTACCTTTTTCACACATGGTACTCCTGCAAAACCTGTAAATGATGAGTAAAACTGTGGGACTTCCCCTTTGTTTAACCTCACACACTTTCCATTACCCATTAATGCTCATTCTTTATATTAAATGGGGGGTGGGGGGGGCGTATACCTCAGTGTTGAGGTATGCGCCCACCCACCCCACCGCCACAAGCTACAATAACATCCACTCCGTCCCACATTTTTCATGATTCGTTGACGCATGCAGATCTTTAGATTATCCTGCAACATTCTGACCTCCTGCCGACGACCCTTGTGCAGTAACGGCTTCCACATACGTACCTTCAAAAGTGACCACTGTAAAGTCATTTTCTGGTGATGTTCTGTTTGATTGTGTGATTTCACGGAATGTACATAATGATGCCTCCAGGGCAGGCTGACCCGATGCCAATGCAGCGAGTGGTCGAAGCTTTAAACGAGGACACCAACTGGGGAATGAGAAAGTGAACCCAAAACACTCATTATGTCCGGATGAATGTAATGCTGGGGGCGGCCACATGGTATCACAACGTCTGTACGCGTGTCAGTGTCTGTCTGTGTGTGTACTACGAGCACAAGGGGGGGGGGTCGCGGCGGATGTTTTGTATGGAGTGATCCATGGCTTTTAAATCAAACCCGGTGAAGAGGGGGAGCACTAATATTCCTTGTGTGTAGGCAGTGGCTGTGCATCTAAGTTCATGCTCACGTGCAGGACAAATAAAACGGGAATATGCTGACCGAAAGGCAAATACGCCTAAATAAGAGGTTTTCAAGATTAAGCGTATTATATTTTTAAACATCTGGAATGATTAAGCTACTCATGATTAACGCAGATGGTTCAGCACAAGCAAAGTCCTTAGTTCCTCTACCGCCTTCTGGGTCCCTGGCAGTGTCTTATAACGAGAGATCGTCTGCTCCCTCTTTTTCTATAGAAACCTTTCTTTAGTGGAAAATGGCCAATGACTGTTTTTTTCTTGGGGGATCTCTGGTGAGAATGAAATCACTTTGTTTTGAAGTCACTTTGCCATATTTCCTGTCAGAGGTCGGTTGTCTTGCTCCTTTTTTAATTCTCCATTTATTTTTTAGCCATTCTATACTTCAAATAGGTTGCACAACATGCAGCAAATGGATATGTGTTTTGAGTCAGATGGTGGCTCCTATGTTAAGGACTTCATCATGTTGCTGAACTATGTTACATAGTAAGCATTTAAGTCACTACTAATTTAATGATAATAAGTGATTGCGATCCAATTTCCCCCAAATGACGGTTTTGTCATGCTGCATTTCAACACGTGGCAAAAGACAAATTAGAAACACCACTTCCTCCCTGAATGTTTTATTACCCAGATGTCTGGACATGGGTCAACTGACCTGAGTGTTCACTGCCCCCTAGTGGTCACATGACACAACAGCATATTCTGCATTGAGGATGCAACGGGATCGAGAGAGCAACAAAAGGGGTTCCATTTAGCACGCTTTTCAAAGATAAAGATAATATGCAATACACTTGATGCAAAGAGGTGGCAGTTATTGGCAGTAATTAAAATGCGTCAGATCGGTCAATTGTTGTCTGCTTCTCTAGCCTTAATAGCCTCTGTATTATATGATAAATATGTGATACGTAATATGGGTTCATGCGTATATAAATATGACCTTATAACTTGTGGAGAATTATTCATTTCAACTTAACAAAGTGTATCGTGGGAAACGTTTTCACATTCGCGCAACTGCTGGAAGACTCCAAACCCCATGATGCACTGCGTTTTCAACATGGCGTCTCACGTTGCATCTTGACTTCTGTCAACAAGCCCAAAACGCAGCTAGGGGTCAACCGGGTAGTGGAACGCGCTTAAATTATCATTTTCGAGTCGATAGGATGAAATTGTTGCTCGCAGCATTGAGACAAACCCACAAAGCAGCCGTTCACACCGGACAGCGGCGCCGCCGGAGCTCCCGAGGCGGCGGCGGCCTAGTAGCCCTCCGGGAGGAGGCTCTCGTCGTCGGGTCAAGCCAGGAGCTCGTACGGAGACTCGGCTCACAGGCGGAGGTGAGGACGGGCTTCATCACCGAGGAGGAGGAAGACGCTCTGCTGCGAGAGCTGGAGCCAGGCCTGAAGAAGAAACGCTACGAATTCGACCACTGGGACGATGTAAGATGTGCTCGCGTGGTCCGTAGTTGTAACGGCTCAACACGCCATGTAAAAAAAAAGTAAAGAAAAAGGGGCGGGTCTATCTACACGTTGACCCACCTGTCAGTCACCTGTATGTTATGGAACCTCCGCGGCTTGGATAGTTAGCAATATAAATGATAAAACATACGTCACAACATCAGATATTGAGCAAAATTTTAACACATGCATATATTCAACCATTTTCAACCATTTTCAACCATTTAGCAGTTTGCCTGCTTCCAGCAATGTTTCCTAAAGGTCAGCGACACTGCCTTAACACTCGACCTGCTCTAGGCCATCCACGGGTACCGAGAGACGGAGCGTGTGAGGTGGGGTTCAGCGTGCGAGGAGGTCATACGTCGGGTCAGGTCCACAGCGTTCCCTGAGGGGAGTCCGCTCCTCGGGCCTGTGCACGTTCTCGATCTGGACAAGACCGGCTACATCAAGCCTCACATTGACAGTGTCAAGGTTGGTTTTCTCTTCTCTTCTGTTCTGTTCTAAGGTGGACAATATCCTCAGCATCCCCACTGGGAATATTCTGTTTGTGTGTGGGCTTTGTTGTTATCGTTGCTGTACTCTCACTGCGTTCTTTTTAAGTTCTGTGGTAGCACCATAGCTGGTTTGAGTCTCCTATCGGACAGCATCATGCGCTTGGTGAAGGAGGATTCCACTGATGAATGGATGGACCTGCTGCTGCCCCGACGTTCCCTCTACATTCTGAGGTTCGGTGTATCTTCTACCTACATTCTGTCATTGCTGTCAGTGCTGTAGGACACCTAACAACATCTTTAGACTGCAGTAATGTGTTTCATCCTGTTCTCTTCACATCCACGCAGGGACCAGGCCCGATATAACTTCACTCACCAGATCCTGAAAGACGAGGAGTCTGTGTTCAAGGGACGGAAAGTTCCTCGGCTGCGTCGTATCTCCGTCATCTGTCGAAACCTTCCAGGCTAACAGCCACTTTCACACAACTTTGATGTAAACACAACATCACCTGGATTTAATTAATTAAATGTCTTTTATTAATGTATCGCACATTAACAGCTCATTGTTTTGCTTCTTGTGCAGTTGCTTTAACATTAAACAATTGTATTACAATCCCTCTGGTTGAATTCTCTACTTCTGCATAATACAGGCGACCGTGTGAGTTCTTTCCAAATAAATGTATCGTTTTTTCCGCACTATACGGCGCCCCGGATTGGGGGGGGTGTGAGGAGGTGTAGACTATGCCTTCAGGGTCCGATCGATGCTGCGAGGTTCATAGCACAACACCGCCATTATTAAAACGAAGAATGTTTACGAGAGAACGAATCAGGTTGAAGAACTTTTGTCGGAAGAAATGCGTAAATATGACCCCTTATACAAGCCGTCATTGGCGGACTACAAGGACCCGCGGATGGCCTCTGATTCACGGAGGAAGATCTCCACAAACGCCGGTTTGCCGGTGGAGAGGTGCACAAAGTTGTGGAGGAAAATACGGGACAAATGTGTCCGCGATGAAAAGCAGCAGTGGCGATGCACGGGGCAATAAAGTCTATGATAATTAAATAAACAAACCAACGACTTCCACACACAAAGACGTGACTCTCTAGGTCGTCTTCGACAGAAACACGTTACTCCACCTGCTGTTCTGGAGGTGAATTGCTCTGCAACACACGCAAGACTTTTAGAGCCATGAATTAACCCCGTTAAGATGGTTCAGCTACTGTAGAGAAAAGGGCACCGTCTCTCGCTCTTTAATCTCAAGAAGTGCTCGGCAAGAACGACATCTTTGTTTCTCCGACGCGCCCTGAAACAAGATCCATATCTCACACGCTTGAGCGCCGCTCAGTATCTCGCCGTCGTAGACCGAGCTTTGGCATGTTTGGCAGAGAGATGAGATAAGGCGGGGAGTTTCTGCCTTGGCAGCTCAGTAGACCTCAGGCGAGGGGCCCCACTACCCATCTAACAGGTTCAAGCTGAGACCGGGTGTGACGGACTGCTCTGTATGCGAGAGTGCACATTTTAAAGTGAATCCTGTACTCTACAGCGAGCCAGTGAGAGGGTCTCAGTGTGGGCAGCGTGAGACTGTCTCTTTGTCCTGGTCAGTAATCTGGCGGATTATCTGCAGTATATGATAAGTAATTATAGACGTGATGCAATTTAGTCTAAAATGCTTTATGACCAATAGATGGCAGCAGATCATCTTCCCCGTGAATCAGAAGCTAGAGGTATGTTCACAGGAGAGGTCCGAAAATATTACCTAGGAGGGAAACCATAGAGACAACAAAGAGGCAGGATGAACTTGTTCGACAGGACCGCCAACGGTTAGACCACCCCTCTCCACCAACGCAACTGACTTCCTCCCTCCAACAAGCTGATCGGGGCTTCAGAGTCACCTGTACTTCAGCAGCCGAGAGTCCTAATTTGAGTGGATACGTTTGTGCAGCAGTTTTGTTTACCTGCTTTTATTCGAGCGAGTAGAGTGAATTTGTCTTGAGTGGTATTTTTTTGGTTTTCACTCGGAAGAGCCAGCACATCGATAAAAGATGGCGTTGCCAATGCGTGTCCTGGTGACAGGTGGATCCGGGTTGGTGGGAAAAGCCATTGAGCATGTGGTGCAGCAGGAAGGTGGGAAACTGGAGGGAGAAGAATGGATCTTCCTCTCTTCCAAGCAAGCAGATCTCGTGTAAGTTTCTTCGATTGTACCCTTTTACCCAATCGTGCCAGGAAGTAATTTGTCTGTGATTGAGGCGTTAAATACTTATGCTAGAATACATCCAAGTCAAACAGGCAGAGTCCATCTTCAAACCTGTGTGTTTTTCTAGTTTATTGTGACGATTGTGAATAAATGTCGTATTAAAACACACACAGAGATGTTGAGCAGACCAGGGCTGTGTTTGAGAAGTATCGCCCCACTCATGTCATCCATCTTGCCGCAAAAGTCGGAGGACTCTATCTACACATGAGGGAGAACCTGCAATTTTTGGTGAGTTTTTTTTTGGTCACGGTAAGCACGCGGGGAAAATATCTACATTGTCTTTAAATGACGTCACGTTGCGTTACCGCGTTATGTCAGTGACAGTTTGACACCTTCACAGAGGGACAACATCAAAATCAATGACAACGTTCTACAAACCGCACATGAGTCTGGTGTGACCAAGGTCGTGTCCTGCTTGTCCAGTTGTATCTTCCCTGACAAAACCACGTACCCCATCGATGAGACCATGGTAACCTCCTTCCTTTTGTGTACTCATCGTATGTTATAGAGAGCCGTGAAATGAGGTGTGCTGATTTTCGCTTTGGTCAAAATGCACTGGTTTGATTTACTGTGATTTGTCTGTAATGTCACACTCTCACAGATACACAACGGGTCTCCTCACGACTCCAACTTTGGATACTCGCACGCCAAGAGAATGATTGATGTTCAGAACCGGTGAGCAGTTGTGCAGTGAAAACAAGGGCGCAGTGTAGACAGACGGATGAACATTTCATCCCAGACAAAAGGCTGCAATTGGTTTTGCGGCCAGCAAACAGCTTTGTTGACTTAGTCAAACAGGTTTTATTTTTGTGACTGTCTCTAAGGGCAAAAGGCTCTAAGAGGGAGGAGGTTTCTCACTTAAGGCTCCATGACACAACGCCTTTTAGAGGGAAATGTTTGGTTGGAGCTTAAATCTTTTCCACCACCAAGGGAGAAAAAATAAAATAAGTGAAAGTGAAAATAAGTAAAAAGTGTGATCAGAAAAGTGTTGCAGTGCGTCTGATGGCTTCTCCGTGTCGACAGGGCGTACTTTCAGCAGTATGGACGTTGCTACACGGCCGTCATCCCAACCAATGTTTTTGGTCCACATGACAACTTCAACATAGAAAATGGTCATGTGCTGTCGGCACTCATCAACAAGACGTACAAGGCCAAAAGTGACTTCACTAATCCATTTTCATGCACATGCCTGGACTGAAAATAGTGAACAGAACATACAAACAGACAACAACAAAATAGAGGTAAAATGATCTATTTTTGTGTGTCTGTCTCACAGAGGAAGGAACTCCAGTGACGGTCTGTGGCTCTGGAGCTCCTAGAAGGCAGTTCATCTACTCTCTGGTACGAGTATTAGTGTATATTTTCGTTAGATTTGACTGTATTGGTGTGTGCTTTGATGACCATTTCAGTTTCCTGTATCTATTTTGGCCAGATGCATCTCTGAGATAAATATGTAGAATAACATGCTGTTCACCTTCAGGATTTGGCTCGTCTAATCATTTGGGCCCTGAGAAGATATGAGGAAGTTGCACCCATCATCCTCTCTGGTGAATAGTACCGTACTCACCCTTAGCGAGCATCACAAGCCATTTTTTTGGTGTTTTTTTTGATTGTGTGGCATGTCAAAGAAAGAGACACAGTCACTATGTGTACAGTATTACTTAACTTTCGCTGTGGGTTTCTTGTCAGTGGGTGAGAAGGATGAAATCTCGATCAAAGAAGCTGTGGACATGATCGCAAAGGCTTTGGACTTCAAAGGCGAAATACACGTATCCTTTTAACATTCCACAATGAATGCATCTCATGCATTGAAGTGAATATGCAGATTGTTTTAACTTGAGATGCTCCTGTGAACCTTTGATAAGTACAGTACGTGCTTTAAAGACTCACCATATAAAAGCTCTATAAGGAGCTGCTGTCTTGATAGACACAAATGTAAATGATCAACCATCTTTGTTTCTCGCCACCAACTGAAAATCCTCCGTGTGCGAGGCGAGAGGGAGAAATACAGGTGTCATCCGGAAAACCACATCTAGTGCCAGGGTTTGGTTTGTCCCCTCGGCTACTGTAGAAATATGGCGAAGAAAGACCTGGGGCCTCATTTATAAACGTTGCGTACGCACAAAAGAAGGCGTACGCCGCTCTCTACGCAATAATTGGTATTTATAAAAAGCAAACTTGACGGAAAAATGTGCGGTCCTTCACGCAAGCTCGGACCCATGCGTACGCACAAAAACGGGTGAAATGAGGACCGTCGGGGAATGCAAGAAACACGCAAACGTGTGTGAAAGTGTAGCAGTGTGGAAATAGGGTTGTCCTGCTACAGTTAACTGCGCCTGCCGACCACTAGGGCGGCAGTACTATATAAAGGCTGCCCCCCTTCTTGCGCCCCACGGAGGCATCATTTCCGGGTCGGGTGTCTGTCTGCACAGAGTGGCCACAGAGTGGCCACAGAGTGCTCTGTGCCCCGTCCCCCTTTTTGCTCTTGGGTCCTCTCAACCGGTGGTAAGTGTTCTCCCTCTGCGTGTTAGACCGAACGATATTCTGTGGCTAACGTTATTGTGGTCACAGGTAGATGTCTTCCTGCCGTGTGGGTTTTTCTCTCCCCCCCTCTCCCTGTGCAGGTTTGACCTGGGAAACAGGTACTTTACTTTAAACTAGCTTCCAAGAGTCTTTGACATGTAGCTTGACAATACTAACCCTATGTTCATTGACAGGGAATGCTCATCAGCTGGCTGAAATCCACCGGGGGTGATTTTATGTGACAACCCTCAGTTGATTCGGGCCACTGCTGCTTTGCCTGCAACTTTGACTGCTGCTTTGCCTGCAACTTTGACTGCTGCTTTGCCTGCAACTTTGACTGCTGCTTTGCCTGCAACTTTGACTGCTGCTTTGCCTGCAACTGTGACTGCTGCTTTGCCTGCAACTGTGACTGCTGCTTTGCTGAGTAGTTAATCGTTTAGTTTGTATTTCTTTTGGTTTGTTCCATTTATTTTCTTTTTGTTTGGGATTAGGATGATTTTTATGTGAATTATTTTCTTTTTCTGTTTTGTGTTGTAAATTTTTGGTTTAATCCTCTTGTAAACCTTCTTTTTTTTGTCATCCTTCCCAGCGGCTGTAGGCTGGTGGTGGTGTGGGTGGTGGTGGTCTTCTTCGTGTGTCGTGTCCCATTGGATTGTTGTGCTATCACTGGGTGAACTCTGGTTTGGTTTTCTTTAAGTTTGTTCTATTAATTTTCCTTCCCCTTCACCGGCGCTTCTCACTGTTAGGCCTTAGCGATTAGTTTTCTTTTCTTATTTTGTGAGGAATGTTTTTAGATTTAGATTTTACGGGAATGTGTATTTATTGAATAAAAATGTTTTTGTAACCTGGGAACCACGAGCCCTTGCCTGTTGAGTGAAACGAACCCGCGTGCTTTAAAAGGTCTTGGGCCTATCCCAAGTGGCGTTGCCGGTGGAATAGGGAACCATTTCGCCACACTTGGCGTTGCTGGCAGGACTCTCTCTCCTAACGGCAAGGACGCGTGTTCCCGGGGTGTTTTTAGTTTTTTTTTTGTTGGTGCACTAATGTCTGTCTTGTAGGCATTTGGGTTTAAGGGGACAAAGCAGCAGTGGTTTCCAGTGGATCTTCATGCCAGTCTGGTGAGGTCTGGTAGAGCAGCTCAGACGTGGGTGACAGTTTTTGGGTTTTGACTGTAGCCATGGAGGAGTTACAGCAGATCAGAACTCTGATAACTCCGTTAAAGGCTGACAATGAGCGGCTACGACAGGAACAGGCTGGCTCTGGTGACTTACCGTCTACCTCTGTTGTGCCACCTACTGCCCCTTTCACGTCCAGCGTCCCTGTATCAGAGAGGCTGGTGTTCGTACCTCGTGATCGGAAGTGTCCTGTTTTAAGGGGAAGAACAGGTATGGGGTTGAGTGAGTGGAGAGAGGAAATTGAGGCGTGTATGAGGTCCTGGCGGTTATCCCAGTCTGACCGGGCGTTTTTCCTGTTTGACCACTTAGAGGGTGAGGCAAGGGATGAGCTAAAGTATCGTTCTAGCGCGGAGAGCGAGGACCCCGATAGAGTATAGGCCATTTTACAGGAGCTGTACGGGTGTGCAGAGTCTTATGTTGCTTTGCAGGAGGCTTTCTTCTCAAGAAAACAGCAAGAGGGAGAGACTCTTCAGGAGTTCTCCCTCACTTTGATGGGCCTCATGGAGAAGGTGAAACAGCGTGCACCTACTGGTGTGCCAAATGCAGAAGCCCTTTTGCGAGACCAATTTGTTGAGCATGTGCTGGACAGTTCCCTGCGTCGCGAGTTGAAGCAGTTAGTGCGTAGACAGCCCAATCACACCCTGCTTGCTGTTAGAGCAGAGGCAATTCAGTGGGAGCTTGAAGGTCTACCTGGCGGTGTGAGTGGCCGCAGTCATTCTGTCCCCTCAGTGCTTGGTGTCCAGTATGGTGTCCAAGGTAACCCAAAGGGTGTTGTCCCTCCCCCCCCTGTGTCAGAGATGAGGGAGATGCTGCAGCGTCAGCAGGAGCAGCTTGATAAGCTTACTGAAAGTATTGCTCTGCTGCAGGTCTCTCACCAGCACAGACATCCACCTCGTACTGGTCCGCTGATATGCAGGCGCTGTAATCAGCCCGGCCATTTTGCCAGGGAGTGTCGAGCGCACGTTCCTCACTCACAGCCACAGTCTAATTCGGGTGGGCAGTTTCGTTTCTCATCCGGGTCGGAAAACTAGTACCCACCGAACTGCAGAGCCACAGTTTGGGAGGGGTCGTTACTGGCTCACAAGTTGCCCCAAGTAGCTCAGAGGTTTCTGAGCTGATTGCGTCGTGTCCCCATTTAGTTGTAGACATAGGTGGAGTAAAGGTTCCTTGTTTGGTGGATACCGGTTCTATGGTGTCTACTATTTCTGAGAGCTTTTTCCACCAGCATTTTGAGCCCTGGGGTCAGGATCGCCTTCGATCGTGTCACTGGCTACAGCTGAGAGCTGCTAACGGTCTGGCAATCCCCTATATCGGCTACTTGGAGCTAGAGGTACAGCTTTGTGGCAAGGTGATGCCCCACTCTGGAGTTCTGGTTGTGAAAGATCCCCCTGGTGGTGTTCCGGTTCAAGTGCCTGGTATTCTGGGCATGAATGTCATCCGTAAATGCTACCAAGAGCTCTTTGGGCAGCATGGCCTAACCTTGTTTTCTCAGCTCTGTGTTTCTGAGGCTTCGGGGCCGATTGTGCGAGCGCTGCAGCAGTGTTATTATGCGGAGGTTCCTCAGGATAGCCCAGGAAGAGTAAAGGTCAGGGGTAAAAGGGTTTGGCGGATTCCTGGTGGCGTCATGAAGATCGTTGCAGCCACGTGCTCTGAACAATTCTCTGCCTCCACAGTGTTGTTTGAGCCCTTGGAGTCTGGGTTGCCGAGTGGCTTGCTTGCTTCTCCTGCCCTGGTTCAAGTAGTTAGGGGCACAGCCTACATACCAGTGGTTAATGTCGACTCTGTTGAGGCTGTGCTGCACCCCCGCACAGTTATTGGCATCATGGGCCCCGTCAATGTCGTCAGCCTTCCTGCAGGAGTGACTGAGGTGCCGTCGGATAGGGCGACCATGTCCTCTCACACAGTTTCCCCTACTGTACCACACCAGATGGAAGAGATGGACCTGTCGTTCTTGCCCGCTGATCAGCAGAGTCAGGTGAGGTCTCTACTTGGGCAGTACGCTTCTGTCTTTTCGGCTCACGATGGGGATTTGGGTTGTACTGACCTAATCTCCCACGACATCCCATTGGTTGATGATACACCGGTCAGGCAATGCTATAGGCGTATTCCACCTTCGGAGTATGAAGTGGTAAAGGAGCACATTAATCAGCTGCTCTCATCAGAGGTAATCCGGGAGAGCAGCAGCCCCTATGCCTCCCCAATCGTGTTAGTGAAGAAAAAGGATGGTAGTCTGCGCATGTGCGTTGACTACAGACAGCTAAATAGTAAAACCAGGAAAGATGCCTTTCCTCTACCACGCATAGAAGAGTCCCTGGATGCGCTATCTGGTGCCTGTTGGTTCTCTACCCTGGACCTGGCCAGTGGTTATAATCAAGTACCAGTTGCCGAATTAGATCGGGCAAAGACTGCTTTTTGTACGCCATTTGGTCTATTTGAATGGAACCGGATGCCTTTTGGGCTCTGTAATGCCCCCAGTACTTTTCAGAGACTAATGCAGCGTATTTTCGGGGATCAGCAGTGCCAGTCTCTGTTGTTATACCTTGATGATATCGTCGTGTTTTCTTCAACAGTGGAACAGCACTTGGAGCGGTTAGAAGTAGTGCTAAGCCGACTTCAAACCGAGGGCCTCAAGGCCAAGCTAAGTAAATGTTCATTCTTTCAGAAGGAGGTCCTTTACTTGGGCCATGTGAGGGTGTCTCTACCGATCCGAGGAAAATTGAAGTGGTAGCCAATTGGCCGATTCCCACTACCGCCTCGGAGCTGCGGTCTTTTCTTGGTTTCGGCAGTTATTACCGGCGTTTTGTGGAGGGCTTTGCTGAGTTAGCAGCCCCTTTGCACAAGGTTGTGGCGGAGGTCGGCCATGCTAAGAATGGTAAGAGGTCTGCGCGTGGGTTCATCGAGTGTTGGACTGACGACTGTCAACGGAGCTTCCAAACACTGAAAGCTATAAAAATGTTTTTGTAACCTGGGAACCACGAGCCCTTGCCTGTTGAGTGAAACGAACCCGCGTGCTTTAAAAGGTCTTGGGCCTATCCCAAGTGGCGTTGCCGGTAGAATAGGGAACCATTTCGCCACAAAAGTGTGTAAAACTAGACTGTTGTGTAAAAGAAATGCCAATACTGCCTCTCATAAATAACACGAACACCCGTTTGTTCGATCTGCAGCGTAAAACAAACAGATACAAATTAACACATTTTCAAAAAGAAAAGTAAAATATGTTCTGCAATAATATTGGCATGTTATGCAATTCATCCTCAAAACACAGCTGTTGCTCGTCAGATGCAATCAAACGGACGGTAATAAAATGCCATGATGCCGTCACAATGCGTAATGACGCGAAATGGCTGATCTTGCGCTCTTAGACGTGACATTTTGCATCCACTTTGATGTCAGACCATTTTTCCTTTATTTCGGCCGGTCCGAGGTTGTGAGGCTGCGGCGTTGCTCTGCAACCTTTTGCCACTCAAGTGCCTTTTTGGCATTAGTGATGCCCACACTGTGCCCTCCAAAAAGCATTTTACTTCTCCGTTACAACTCGCCAATGATCGTGTCCACTTCACACTGAGTGAAATTATGTTTCTTCGTTTTCCTCCCAGTGTTTGTCATGATTTCGCAATCGATGAATATTAATTTGTGGGCGTTCCACAGACTATATATGGGCAACATTGGGCGTGACAGGGAGCCGCAAAAGCTGCGCTGCATTTCGAAGTGATTGTGATTTATTGAGGGAAAACTGCGTAGGACGTGCGTGTGCACGGTTTTATAAATCAGAATATTTCTGTGCGTATGCACGTCCTACGTTTCATCCGTACGCCACTTCTGGCGCAAATCATACGCAAGCTTTTATAAATGAGGCCCTTGCTCATAAACATTCCCATTAATATATTCCACTCCTGCGGATATATCCCCTTAGATACTTCACACTTTTCCTTTAAGTGCAAAGACATAACAAAAAAAAAAAAAGTTTACCCTTGACCCTTACGATCAGTTTGACACCACCATGTCTGACGGCCAGATGAAGAAGACAGCCAGCAACGGCAAGCTGAGGCGCCTCCTGCCCGACTTCTCCTTCACACCCCTCAACGAAGGTCGGACCTCAATACCACAATATTATTGGATGCTTTAATGCTTTAACTCACAGAATTTCATGGTACTGAGAGCGTAGAGGAGTAGAACAAATGAAGGCATGCTCAGGCTGGTTATGGTGACTTGCTGTGTTCATTTCTTTCTCTCCTCAGCTATAAAGATGACATGCGACTGGTTCGAGAACAACTACAACATCGCCCGGACATGAAGTGACTGACCATCGGCAGCATTCTTTGGTTCTGGTGTGATGCAAGTTGTTATGACTGTCGAATATCGGTACATTCAGTGCCACATTAAACATACATTGAACATATTCTCTAGTGTACTGGAGCCTCTTCATTCCTGATCTCTAGGGGGTTTTACACGACGGGGATAGGAGCCCAACCCAAACAGTCCCATGCTGTGGCAGCTCTGTATGCAACGGGATAGCTCTAAAAACAAAGCTCAAACAAATTGTCAACACAATGGACACATCCAGCACACCTCAAAAAACAAACAAGTCCTTGAGGATGCTATCTTAAATTATAGCAGGGAAAAAAGATCTGTTTGTAAAACCATACTCAGTGTAGATTATCGTTCGAGATATGAAATCCTTTTGTTTATGAAGCATAATTAATACGCTTTTTCTGTATTCAATTTCCATACTCTATACAATAAAAATAATAATGTGAATGAGGGACAGGGCATGCAGAGTAAACCTTTTAACACCCTTTATTTGAAAATTCTGCAGAAAACAAAACTAATAAAATAAAAGTTAAAGACTTTTTTTTTTCAGGCGAAACTTCACACTTTGAGAAAAACTAGAAGTCCAGTTAATTTTCTATGACCTGATGGGAGATTTCAGGGAATGAAAAACAAGTTCAGGATGCTTAATACTTAGTTGTAAAAAATATTTTTTGGTCAATAAACCAGCGATGACAGATCCCTTGTCAAAACAGCACAGGGCCGTGGCTTTTCTCTCCCCTGTTGCTCCACACCTCTCGGCTTGATGGCTTATTCAGTTAAGTAGAAGTGCATTTTTTCGTTGACATTCTTGCGCTCCGGATTAAGGCGCTTCAGGATCTGTGCCAGCACGTTGACGGTCTGCTCGCTGCTCAAACCTGTGCGCTTGGTCTGGAACTTCTTCAGCAGGTCTTTGGTGGTCATCGGTTTACGGATCAAGTACCGGCGAACTGCTTCCTCTGTTAGCTGCACATCACTGCGGAGTAGACGATAGAAAATTACATTTTATTGTTTATGTCTTGCAATTTCTCACAACAATTAAATAAGTTCATATTTCTGGAATGCATCAAGGAGGATTGGTAACCAGTACCTGGAGCTGGGAGTGGATTTGCCTGACGGGGGTTGGGGCGTGGTTTTCCCAGAGGGGGCTGGGCTCTGACTGCTGGGCTCCATTTTGAGCCTTTTGGCAGCCGGTGAGTCGGTGCTGGGACCAGCAGTCGGTCTCTTACCTGCAGGACATGGAGATTTAGTTGAAATAGGAAAAATTGACAGTTGAGTCACTTTTGAAAGTTTCAGGTGATACTGATGATACTGAAATGGGGTATTGGGAAACACCTTGCTCTAGCTTGCTGGCGGCAGCGCGGAGCGTACTGGAGGTGGAGGCCGAGTCTATGGACGGCGTCCCGGGGCGACTGCCAGTCCTGGAGCTGCCTGCAGAGCCACGGCCACCACGTTTAGGAGGAGTGCGCTTCTTCTGAGGAAGTGAAATGAAAACAGGGAAGTTCAAGACAAAACAAAGCTGTGAACACAGAACTCGTTAGTATGTTTGACCAGAAGCTGTGCCGGCGCACGGGGTGATATAATAACAAATATTCTGGACTTGTTAGAGCAACTGATCATCCCGTGTTACTTATAGTTTACATGCTTGGGCATAAGTAGCCCAGGAAATGCACCGACATCCCTGTATGCAGTCACAGGCACACTAATCACCATGAACAGAGCGGAGGCCGTCTCTCCGTCAATGTCACTGTCATCGGAGCTTTCCGACTCGCCGCTGCTGTCTGTGAAACACAAAACCAAAGTCAGAAACCCGTCTTTATGCATGACACAACTGGCAGAACGATTTAAGCCTGCTTTGGTCAACTAGGGCCTCAGTAGAGTTGTTTTGTCAAACCCTCATCTCTCCCCATAAGAGCTGCACCTTTTTTCTTCTTCTTTTCCGTTTGGACCGGCGTTTTCTTTCCTTCCTCTTCTTCCTCCTCCTCCTTTGTTTCCTCTTCGTTCGGTTTCTCCTCCTCACTCTCTTCCTCACTTTCAGATGCCTCATCGATCCCTATCAAGGACAGACATTTGGAAAGAAAACTCATTCATTGTGGTAAAGCCAGGAAATCATAAGAGGCTAACGCTTAAAGGCTTGTGTACATTGAGACGGGATGGATCTGGATGACATCCGACTCAGTCAAACCTCTAGCTCGGCAATCATCATATGAAACACATGCATCAAATCATCGTTGTTTTTGATTCAATATTTAATGCTTTAACAGATCAGTAATATTCAACGACTTAAAACCTGACCTTTTGGATGATCCTCTCCTTTGCTTTGCTTTCCCTTTTCCGGCTCTTCGTCTGAACTGCTTTGAGAAACAGAAGTACATGCTAGTAGAAGAAGAGACACTGCTTAGGGAAACACCGGCCTATTGTACAAAGCGGTGGATCTGACCTGCTTTCATCCGACATGTAATCCACCTCTAGACCCTCGTAGTCACCGTCATCGCTGTCCTCCAGGGCCTCTTTGTCGCTGCCCTTTTTCTTCTTCTTCTTCTTTGCTTTTCCTTTCCCCGTGTCCTTTTTTCCCTTTGTCTTCGCTTCTCCATCTGCCCGATGAAGAGATGAGGGGGAGGGAGCAAGGAGAAATCCCATGGTGACAGAGGGAATGCGAATTTGGCAGACTTAAAGGATACGGAAATCCACAGTCTTTTCTTCTTACCGTCCCCCATACTGCTGTCACTGTCATCGCTGCTCATCTCCAAGTCTTCCTCCAGGTCGTGGATGCGCAGATCGCCCCCTTTCTTGCCCCCCTTCTTTTTGTTCTTCCCCGCCTTATCGTTCTCATCGTCATCGTCCTCACCACCGCGCTCCTGCTCCCGGAAACGTCTCTGAAGCATGATGCTGAAGTGATTCACCACCTTGTTTCTTCTGTGAGACGGAGACAATGTCTGATGTTAAGTGTTTGAATCCCCCGCTTAGGTAAACTAACTAACTAAACTAGGTAAACTACGGACTTATTCTTTTATCCATGCCCCTCTCTTCATCTCCCATTCACACACCTGCTCCACTCCTCCTCAGCCTCCTCGGCAGTGAGAGTTCGGTGTTTGGCCTGCGGTGTAAAGTTGTACCAGCCGTGGACGGGAAAAGCCTCGAAAGCTCCATCAGGACACTGTGTGAAGATGTAGTAGGAGGCATTTTCTGTAACGCCGCCCTTTTTTATACCTTTGAACCTGCCAGGACAGAGCAAGGAAATAGATGTTTGATTAACAGCAGAGATGGCAATGATGCCATGTTATTTAATAAATGTAGATTATTGTGGTGGGATGGAATTTCTAAAGTACAAAGAACAAACTTTAGCCACTTTTTTCAAATAAAGTCATCCCGTTTCCTCTATCAGTAATATAATAAATAAATGTGCTTCCTGGTCTACTAAGCAGGTTCACAGAGAGATATGTTGGTTTAATGAGATTGAGCCAGATGCTTTAGAAGAGTCTTTCTCCCCACCTCTTGCCAGCCTTGCCATTGACTTTTAGAATCCAGGGCTGGTCCTCCACTTTGAACTCCCGAGTCACAATACCGTACTTCTTCCGCCGTGATTCCTCGCGCTGCTTTTTGCCAAACTCACTGCCAGCCGCACCTTCCGCCGTCTCTTCCTCCCCATAAATCCGCCGGGCACTCATGTCTCTCTCCATGCGAGCCTGAGAAGGAAAGAGTAAGGAAAACAGAAAGACGGTCGCTGATGCTGCTTCTTCAAAATCATCTCGGACTTTTGGGGTTCTTTTAGTAGAGTAGTCACGCTGGCTGTCATTCCTCTCGCCGCGCGGACTCTGTGCTACACCACTGACATGACGCCCACCTGTGTCCAGGCTGAACAGTTGACTTTGTCTCCTGAATTGAAAGCCATGAGGTTGTACTTCTTGCTGTTGTTTCTATAGGACAGATAAACCAAAATGCAAACAAAAAAACATTAACTATAGCGGCTTTTTTACTAATCGAGGTTGAGAGGAATAGTTACCAGATACCAAACTAATTCAATGCTTACTATCTCCATCACCAAAGCCACACATAGTAGAACACACATTCAATCATTGCATTTACGTTTTGAATACAAATGTCTGCGAAACGTAAACGAGCATCTCTGCACGCCTTGTTTTAAGTTACAGGACGTCCCTGCAGAACAACAGGAACGTGAGCCGGTTGAATTACTCACTTGGGGACTCGCACTGTGTATTCCGTGCTGGAGGAACTGCTGCTCCCCTAAAGGAAGAAGTCAAAGTATTCATCTAGTCTCAGCACTTCATCCCGTCTGCAGTGTAACGGATCACATTTAAACCGAGACAAATCATAGTATATGCCGTCTACTTTACAGTTTAGTTGTCATAAGATTACAGCAGGTACAAGATCAAGAAGTTTATTGCCGGGGATAAAAGGGAGGTTTGACATTGTGTAGCTGAGCTTCATTCGAGACTTACCAGTGAAGTCATGGTTGTCTCCGTGGTTTTATAATCAGAATTGGCTTGAGGAGAGTCTGGCAGCTGTACACTATAAAAAAGAAGACATCAAAAAGGAGATGTTTGGAAACACCAGTGTGTTGCGATGCTTGAGTTGACACAGAACAACTCACGTTGCATTTAATTCATTGTGGCAGCAGAACAGAGACCATCCCCCAATAATTTAGTCTGAAGACTGTTGTGCCGTTAGCATCCCATGCTAATACAAACAGTAGCAACGCGCCTAAAGAGGCGTTTTAGTCACAGTTGTGGCTTTTATAAACCGTTATAAAGATTCTCCAGCTTCAAGCTGGTGTGACGTTAGAAATGCGGGGACAGTATTTATGGTATTTAGACGATTAAATCCAATTAAATGCATCTGATTTACCGTTGCGCGTACTGCCACTGAAGTTATTCCGTTCCAATAACTGGTGGTGAGGAAACACAGAATACAAATAATGGTTCCTAGTGAGTCAGCCGGCTCTCCCTGATTTGCATATAAGAATGTGAAATGAAAAACGGCATTATGAAATAAGTCTCTGGAAATGAAAAACGGCATTATGAAATAAAAGACTCTGGAAATGAAAAGTGGCATTATGAAATGAAAGACTCTGGAAATGAAAAGTGGCATTATGAAATAAAAGTACCATGAAATAATTAAATGTATTTAATATTTATGTATTTATTGCCTCATTTATTTATTTCATGATGTATTTCAAATGCATATTTCATGTATTTACTTATTTATTTAATTTTGACTAAAACGCCATTCCATACACTTTGAGGTTCGCCTTCGCCATGTTGGCCAGGTAGCTTTACTGTGCGAATAGAACAAATTATAATTATTAACTTAAAAGAGCGGTTAAGAATCTATTTTTATTGTCATTCATTTTGATTCTGAATTCCTAAATAGGGACTTTATAGTATTTATAGTATACACCGGAAGTTCTGGTCAACTTTAATTTCTAAATTTTTGTTATTTTCTTTAAAAGTGCTTACATTATAAGCAGTATATTTATTATCATGTATGGTTGATATGAATAATAACATCTCAATGAATATTGATCATATTTGATCCATTCGCTTGACATTGTAATTGCAGTCTTGCGGTTTCCAAGTATCAACACTAGATGGCAATATACACGCATGATTCAAAATGTACAGGGATGACAAATAAATGAATAAACAAATTTACAAAAAAACTATAAATAATCTCATTTCTTCTTTTGGTATCAACCTTCATCTTAATTCAGTATTTCATAATTATTTAGGAATTTGAATTTCACTAGGTAAGGCTGCAAGCAAGATGTTCACATTCTTTATACAAAATAAGTCAGTTTTTCTCCATTTGTATTTGCAGGTATTTAAATGCAGCCTACCTGCTACAATGTTACATTTTGAAAGACAAATTGACATGCCAGGGCACACGGTCTGTTTTAAGGTGTTTCGATTTGTAAACTATGAACTACAAATGCTCAGACATATTTACTCAGAGGTGGTGACTTTCATTGCAAAGGAATAGTATAAAGACTTTTCCATCTGATGTTAATGCATAATTGTACTTAGAGTTACATAAGAATAGCCTAGAAGAATATCCAAGCCATGACTATTAAGTGTAAAGCATTTCTACTGTTTCATTATTATCAGCATCACTCTCTAAACAAATTACCACACATTTGCCATTTAATCTTTAGAACTGACAAAAATCAATTTAGACTAGAAGAAAATCTTTGTTTTTATGTTTCCTGGAAATTTATAAACAAAATATAAAGCCTATTATTATAATCTTTTGAACATTTGGCTTTCTATTTCTAAACGTCAATACATCCATGTGACATATGATCATTAACAGGTAAAAGGAAAGTTACGTATGTAACTACTGTTCTATAAACTGTTATACTATGAATCCTGGCTTCACGCTGCCTTTGTTGGTCAGTAAGGATGAAATAGAACTCCTGTTAATAATTATGGAGCTGGGCCAACATAAAAAAAAACACATTACTAAATTAAAATGACAATTCACTACAAAATCATATACCGCCATCTAGAACATGTTTTTAATGATATTTTAATGCGTACAATTAATGCTTTGGGGTGATTCTCTTAGTACTTAGCAGATGAAGAATTTTACAAATGTAAATGTTTTGCTGTGAGGCTCAGGCCTTCTCACGACTTGGGCTGTTACACACAAGCTTTTCCTTCACACAAAACACATTTTGCATTGATTTTTGCATCAGTGCCACTGCTTAGAAAAACATTTTGTGAAAGCTGTGCAAATAAGCAGAATATAGATACTAAGCTCAAAGAGTGGTGGTTGATGTTTTGTGGAGTCTTACCCGTCATGATGAACTGCTCTGCCGTTATACTGCTCCTTGGTGAGTTAATTCATGTTTTATAGAGTTGATAATGTGTGACAATGAATAGCTACAGTGAATTAAACTATTATATTAGAAACATGAGAGTTTAGTTTTATAAAAAGAGTGATCCGCTTTTTGGAACGGTACCGTCACAAATGCTGTTGAAGTCTTGTATCCAATATCGTTTGCACCATCTCAGCAGATGAGATCACGTCTTAACTATACAAATTTTAAGATGATATCTTTTACGTGAAGTCTTACTTAGAATACATAAAAACAAGAACTCTTCTTTGTTGTTGTGCTTTATAGGTTCCCTCTTTATCATCGGCCACTGTGTTTTTCCTCCCGGTAGGAATGATTTTCATTTGGAAACATCAGATGTGTATTCTGGTTATTTGTGAAATATCTATTTATTCTTTATTATTGACAATTTTCTCTTCCTCGCAGGTTCTTGTGATGGATACACAAACATAACTGACACATGGCGCAACTACTTATTTATATCAAGTACCTTTTCTGACTATCCAAACGATGATGCTGCGCTTGTTGGGAATTGGCTGCGCTTCGTGGGACTTGGTGGAGATACACTTATACCAGACTGCCCAGCAGGCCCTTGTGGCGGTACCACGTACCCAATTTATTTTCCCTTTAGTTATCCAAAAGATGAATCAGAAACTGCGAGTACAGGGACTGCATATGCTAATAATGGATCTTGCGAGGCTTATAGTTCTGAGATGTCCGTGGTCCTCTGTCCTGGAGGGTTCTACATCTACAAACCATCCAGCCATCAAAGTAGCAGCATGGGTTTTGTGACCTGTAAGGAGTAATAATTCATTGATCCTTGTGTGTATGTATGTATATATATATATATATATATATATATATATATATATATATATATATATATATATATATATACATACATACATACATACATACATACATACATACACATACACAGTGTATATTTTAGTTAATGTCCTACTAAATGAGTAGCTGCAAACTGCAGTACTCATGTGTGTGTTTTGTCCCTCTTTAGACCATTCTACATGTGACTCAGTCTCCTGTGGACCCCTAGCTCTGTGTTCAGGTAACGGAGGCTGTATTTGTGAGTCTGGGTATGAAGTACCCCCCGCTTACCGCCCCACATCAGAATCCTACGGTTGTGATGGTAAGTTCATTTATTTGAATTTATTTATCAAAGTAGGATGTGTTATCACCCCCCATTCATTTTGATGATCATCTAACTCACTTCACACCTTGAACTCCTGTCTAACATCTCTTGACAGACATCAATGAGTGCACGACTGCAGGTATTTGTGGTCCCAACGCTCAATGCAACAACGCTATTGGATCATATTCCTGTACCTGTCTGGATGGATTCAATGCTACAGATCCAATATCAGCACCTGGACTATCCAACAAATGCACAGGTACGGACGCACAGCTCAGTGTTCAGGTGACGGCAGGTGTATTTGTGAGTCCGGGTATGAAATACCCGCCGCTTACAGTCTAACATCAGAATCCGGCAGTTGTGATGAAAAGTTAATTTATTTCATCTGAAAAGGTAGTAAATCACAGTAGGATGTACAATCGCCGAAGCGACCTCCATTAATTTCGTTCATCACGGCATTAAAATGTTTCATTAATTTTGTGAACTCTAACACACGTCGCACCTTGAACTCTTGTCTTGACAGACATCGATGAGTGCACGACTGCAGGTTTTTGTGGTCCCGACGCTGAATGCAACAACACTATTGGATCATATTCCTGCATCTGTCTGGATGGATTCAGTGCTACAGATCTGACATTACCCCCTGGACTATCCAACGAATGCACAGGTACGGACGCATAGCTCAGTGTTCAGGAGACGGAAGCTGTATTTGTGAGTCGCCGCTTACCCCCCAACATCAGAATCCTACGGTTGTGATGGAAAGTTCATTTATTTCATTTGAAAGGTAGTAAACTAATGTAGGATGTATAATCACCGTAACCCCCCCACCCCTTCTTTTTATTTATCATGACATTAAAATGGTTCATTCATTTTGTGATCATCCAACCCACTTCGCACCTTGAACTCCTGTCTGTAACATCTCTCGACAGACATAGATGAGTGCACGACTGCAGATATTTGTGGTCCCGACGCTGAATGCAACAACACTATTGCATCATATTCCTGCATCTGTCTGGATGGATTCAGTCCTACAGATCCAAAATTAGAACCTGGACCATCCAACGAATGCACAGGTACCCACCTTTTGCTCAGTGTTCAGGAGACGGAAGCTGTATTTGTGAGTTTGTCAGATTCAAGATGTTTTACTCCACCTAGGAGCAGTTGGAAAGCTGCAACTCAATTATAACTTTTGACCTAAGTGTACCACTCAAAGCTGTCTGGTTCATTGTTTCATGTGTTTGGCAGATGTTGACGAGTGTGGCATAGATCCCCCCATCTGTGGTCCCTATGCCAACTGCTCCAACTCAGATGGATCTTACTCCTGCACCTGCTTCGTTGGTTTTCAGGAGAACGTCACAGGCGTGATAGCCAGCTCTTCTAACCCATGCACAGGTGGGTGAACATGTCCACTGTCATTCTTGTCCAGCGATGACATTATTGAGGTTAGCCTTGCAAAAAGCTATTTTCTTCTCTTTCTAGACGTGGACGAGTCTCTCGAGAATGTCTGTGGCGATGGCGGGACTTGTATAAACAACGTAGGAAGCTTTGTGTGTGTCTGCCATCCAGGCTACAAGCTTGAACTCGACGCGACTCCTCTTTGCCAAGGTCATTTTTCATAGATGTTGGACAGCACTCTCCATACTATTAACACATGCAGTTCGGAATGACATTTGTTGCATATGTTTTGGAGTAAAACCCAACTTTTTTGTGTTCATGTGACTCTTCCCAACTGCATGCCAACTGGGTAAAGTGTTCCTTCCTCAGATATTGATGAGTGTTTCAACTCCACCATCTGTGGCCCTGACTCCGAATGCACCAACATACCAGGAAACTACACCTGTAAATGTGTCCTGGGGTACGCGCCAACTGATCAAAACAGGCAGCCCAGCGAGACAAACATCTGCATTGGTATTAAGACGCTTTTCAGATGTAAAATGTTTTACAGTGCCTAGGAGCAGTTGGAAAGCTGCAACTCAATTATAACTTTTGACATAAGCCACTCAAAGGTTCATTGTTTCATTTGTGTATCATGTGTTCGGCAGATGTTGACGAGTGTGACATAACTCCCCCGATCTGTGGTCCCTATTCCAACTGCTCCAACTCAATTGGATCTTACTCCTGCACCTGCTTCTCCGGGTTTCGGCTGAACCAGCAGAACCTGATAGCCAGCTATTCTAACCCATGCACAGGTGGGTGAACATGTCCACCATTAGTGTGGTTTTGCTGCATTATATGTGTTTTAACAGTGTATTTTTCACTCTCTTTACAGATATAGATGAGTGCAGTGAGACCCCGGGTCTGTGTGGGATACTAACTGTGTGCACTAATGTACCGGGGACCTACTATTGTTCTTGTCGTGATGGATTCTACCCTTCAACTGGACTCGTTTGGAAGATTGGAGTCACATTTTGTGAAAGTGAGCTTCGAATGCGATTACTTCAAGTGTATATAAAGTATATTACAATATCCTGATGCGCTCAATTCTTTGTCATTTTCTTTTGCACTGACTCAACAGGCCTCGATGTCATTTTAGATAGGATAAAACCTCCACAGGTAAATATCACCAGAACCTCCAAGCAATTATAAAAAAAGAAAAAAAAAGAAACCGCTAAAACACAAATGTCTTGAAATAACACTTCAACAAAAACGGTTTCCGGTAATGTGAGTAGTAAGAAATCACAATGTTTCGTTATTTCATGTTGCAAAAATGTTAACATACTTGCCAAATTTCAACAAATAGATTATCATTTCATCTCATCACATTAAATGTTGGGTCATGTTTGTGTTTTTGCTGCAGGGTCAGACAAAAGAGAGAGCTTTTCTTGGAAACATGGACCAACAACTGACAGAAAATGGGGACATGTACTTACCAGACGCAGTGAGTAGAAAACAAGGAGCGGCAATCCTCTCAATTTTACCTTTTGAATAGGTTTCACTCGCTGCAATAAGGATCTCCACAGTTATGTTATTAGTCATCCAATGAATATTAATAAAACGTGGGTTTTTTTGGCTGTTTTTTACTTCGCCGTTGCTGCTGGATGTTTTTAAATTTGATGCAGATAATGTGCAGCTGCATTAACAAAACTCTTCTCTCTCTCTCTCTCTCTCTCTCTCTCTCTCTCTCTTGTGTTTTGCTATCTCTGTAGACTGTGTCAAACAGCATATCAGCATCTATGGTAAATGTTATTCCACAAACAACCCGTGTCACCGTAACACGTCATTCGATGACGCTTTAATCCTACTTTGGTGTTTGCATCACTAGGCAGGTCAGTTTTTGAAATGTCCTATTTTATTGCAGGAAGTGTCGGGTGTTGGACCACGTGCCAGGTTAAGAAGTGTGAGTAGCCAAGGAGACGCGGAGACCGGAAGTATGATCCTGAACATCTCCGACCGTTTGGTGTCCGCCATAGTGCAGCCAGGTCAAAACAAAACCCAGAGGACAGTGACGAGTCCAACACTGGGTAAGAAACGGGCCTCTTAGTTCATTGTAGATATCTGCTGTGCCTCTACTGGGTGGAAAATCTAAATCTCAAGATGTGTGTGTGTGTGTGTGTGTGTGTGTGTGTGTGTGTTAGATCTAAGTATTCAAACTATCGGGCCCGAAGACAGCGACGCCGAGAGCACTGCGCTCTCAGCCAACGGAAACACCATGCAGATCAACTTGGAAGGCCTGGCCAAAAATAACAATGGTGAGGGGAAAAAAAACTCCATTAGAAAGACGAAATGAGGACCGTAAACACAGCACTGTGAGGCATTCATGTTAAATGTTTTAGATGGTCTGAAACATGCTAAACCCTGTTGACCACTTGGACAGGTTCTGCAGCAGTTGCCTTCTTGACAATAAATGGGATGGAGAGTCTTCTTAGCCATCAGTACTTTAAAACCGAGAACAGGACAGAAATGTACTCGGACGTCATCACTGCCGTCTTACCATTAATGAACAACACCAACCTCACAGAGCCTGTCAACTTTACCATCCAGCATAAGAAGGTACCGCCCGATCTTCCCCTCTACCTTGGGAGACAACATAAGGCCTGATATCAATCTCTTTAAAATCTTTCATCAGACACTGACTGAATCTGGTTTGGTGACCTGTGTGTACTGGGAGGAGAGCGCAGACGGCAAAACCCAGGACAAGCGTTGGTCGGTAGACGGCTGTTTGGTTGCATACACCAATGAAAACTACACCGTGTGCAGCTGCTCCCATCTGTCCACGTTTGCCCTCATCATGCAGATAGGGGAGGTATTGTAGATGTGTATGTGTGTGAGTGTGCATCTGGTAATACACACATGGCCAGATTGATGACGGTATTTGTTTGCCCGTGTTCTTGTGTTCCCTCAGCCTCCCCAAGAGGACTCTTTCCTTGAGTGGCTAAACCGGATGTGTGTGACCATCGGGCTGTTCTTCCTCGCTTTGGCCATCTTCACCTTCCTGCTCTGTAGCTGGAACCCCAAGATCAACAATACGGCTCGTCTTCACCTCTGCCTCAACCTCTTCTTCTCCCAACTGCTGCTGCTGTGGAATGACAAATATGTGGATCAAGCGGTACAGCAAGACCATCGTTGGGTCTCTCCCGCATGTGTTCTATTCAACACAAGTGAGCCATGTTTGTTGAGGCTATTTCCAGGCGCTTTGTTTCTCAAAAATACATCTGTGTGTCCACAGCGGGCCTGCACAGTCATGGCAGGTGTTCTCCACTTTGTTGTGGTAGCAAGTTTTGTGTGGATGCTGCTGGAGGCGCTTCAGCTCCACCTGTTGGTCCGGAGACTCTCTAAGGTGCAGGTCATCCAGAGAGACGGCCTCCCAAGGCCACTTCTCTACCTGATTGGCTACGGCGTTCCATTTGTGATTGTGGGGGCTTCTGCACTCATATATTCGGATGGATATGGTGCTACTGATGCAAAAGTGTGAGTAAGACAATCAGAACGACATATTGTCTCTCCGTTTTGTCTGCATCCAAGTTAAAAGGACTGTTTGATTCCTTTTGCAGGTGCTGGCTCTCCACAAAGCGCCATTTCAACTGGGCTTTAACGGGCCCTGTGGTTGCCATCCTTGGAGTGAGTATATTGCATTTGCATCATCAGTTCAGTGGAATTCAATTAGCCGAGCCAGGCGTGGTCTCTGGCTTTAATCAGCCTGGACCAACTTTATAGCTCGCTGAAAAACTGACCAAAAAGGACCTCGCAGACCAACACAAGCGGATGCAAGAAAACAGAAATTCCCCGTAAACGATGTAGGGTGTGAGAGATTGACAGTCATCAGCTCGATGGAAGATGCTGCTCTGCACGGCGCTGTGCTGCTTATACCGTGGAAAGCGTCATCACAGTTCACACATGCAGAAGATTCCTGTTTTTGGGCACCTGGGAGGGCGACTCGCCCACAGGCAACGCTGAGCGTTTTGTTCCTTTTTGTAGTGTGTGGGGGTTTTTTTTCCTACTGGCCTGAACTTGTATCAGTCATGTTCTCACAGAGACACATTACTCTCTATTCTATCCGCTTTACAATTACCTCTTACCACTTGCACCCGCAGTGTTTTTATCAGGGCTCCATTTGTTGGGTTTTCAGAAGCCTTTTACTTCTCAGTAATTGACGATTTGTGTCACATCTCTGTTTGACGTCTCGGCCTCTGTCTTTTCCCATTCTAGCTTAATTGGATCTTGTTCTGTGCTACTTTATGGAGCTTGAGACCAACCTTGGTCAACATGAAAAGTGGTGCTTCTCAATCCAAAGACACCAGGTATGCGATTTGCTTTGACGAAAATCAATTTTAAAAGTTCCTTATTTACGCGTCGTTGTCTTTTTTCAGGTTGGTTATTTTCAAGATCCTGTCCCAGTTTGTCATCTTGGGCTGCACCTGGATTCTGGGCCTCTACCAGTCAAACCTATTCTTCCAGGTGCTCTTCATAGTTCTCAACTCCCAGCAAGGCACCTTCCTCTACATCGTCCACTGTCTGCTCAACAAGGAGGTACACAGATTATTAACGGGGGGGTGTGACACTTTCTGACATGTTGTTGGTTCACAGCAGACTGGCAATGCTCTTATTCTTTTGTTGGTAGCTTTAACTTCATGTATCTAAAGAAACTGTAATTTATTGTGTTTTCTAGGTCCGAGATGAGTACGTGAAATGGCTGACCTGTTCTTTCAATACGAGCAAAGAAAAAGGATCAGTGGTGAGTTTTAATAACAATGCATGCAATCACTTTATTAAAAGTTTTTTTTTTTTTTTTTTCGAGACCGCATTCTTTTTGAGGTTCATAAGGGCCACAAATACTCAAAATATTTAATAATATAACATCCAAGGTCGGTCACCAGATGTAAATCTGTTTCATAGAAGGCTCTTTTCAGAAAGTGTTGAGTTTCACTAATCTTTAGAAAGCTTTCTTTTCTTTCTTTTTTTTTTTTAACGAAATGAATAAATATGAAAAATGCATTTCTACAGAAAGATGTGCCCTCAGTCTCTGAAGACGTGGCTGAAGGCTGAAGAGCGGCAGCGTGAAGGACGAACCAATATCCCAAAAGAGGGACGCACGGCAGCAAGGAGACGTGCAAACCCATACTTCAATCATCAATTAGTCATTACATATTATCATTACATTGCTACTTTGCTGTTTTCTTTGAGGATGACAAATCATAAGATATATATATATATATATATATATATATATATATAAAAACGTGTGTGTGTATGTCTACCTCGTCTGTATCTACTATTATTCATCATGTAATTGTCTGGTTTGTATGACGTTCACTGGGAGACAACTAAAAAAAGACTTCCAACACCTTAAATAAATAAATGAGGTAATCTATATGCCAAATATTTGTAATGCTGGCTTTTTGTTAAGTTTCTACAGCCTCATCCTGACATCTGGGACTGTTTATGCACCATGACAACCGCTTGCTGCAGTGCAGACACATGTTTGAGATATGGCCACAGCATCAGTTGCAACCTTTTATGTTAACTTCTGCCTCACCTGTTCTCTACCAATACTTAAGTACTGCCAACAATACCGAGGAGAAAGCATGTGTACGACGCAAAAGCTCTGTCATCATTTGTCTGTGAACACAACACGAAATATTAAGAAACGTAAGGTGTGTGTGTGCAGGCGGGTCGGCAACATTTAGCTGTGTGGCAGCAGGTGGGGGCCTCGCATCAAAGGCGGAACCTGTTGGGGATAAACAGTTGCACCTTCTAACACGCGGGGAGTGATGGCTGTTGAAAGCGTCAAAAGATCCCAGTGTAGCTTTTGCTGGACAACATGAAGCAAAAAACGCCAGTCAAAATGAACGAGTCGTTTGGATTTTCTGAATTTAGATTTTGAAGATTTTGGTTAACTAAGTCCCAATGGGTCACGTGACTTCTCAAACTCAGGAATAGTTGCGTTTGCAGCCGACATTACCATATATATTTTTATAAACTTAACAAATTCGCAACTGCCATTCATGAACAAAACAAGATCTTCAAAATTACTAGCGTGTATTGATATTGAATTTCTTATGTTTATGTATATATTTCATACTGTAGAACAAAAAAACTCCTCTTGAGCTTGTAATAAGCATAGAAAATGAATTCAACAGGACCTTTTGACTGGAGGTGAAGGAACCGAACGTGCAAAAACATTAACATTACTTCCTAAGTTGTAGGACTCCTTCAAGAGAAAACGCGTGCCATTGACGTGGTCTTTAATGCCTTTTAGTTGGCGTCAAAGGGCCCCGCTGGCTTGCCCACGGGCGCCGCTTTGCACCGCGCTTATACTGCAAATACATCCGCTAATGTCGCCCAGCAGCGCTGGGGCAAACACTCTCGGCCTTTTTTCAGCGCTTCTAAAGTTTTGCACTATTACCACAATCAGCTGGGGGCCGTTGGCTCGGCCTTAGCCATGTTGACAGACGTTGATATCCAGATAGATCCCCTGTTACAAGCTATTTGGAAAACTCCGCAGTGACAGTGAAATCAGGGGTCTTCACCATAGAATCAGTGTCAAAAATGTAACCTTGAATGTGTCGTATATCATAACAAGGCACCAAAGCCGCTGCAGCCGCTGCCAGTAACAGCAGGTGGGAGATTGCTCAGGGCGTTGTTTTAAAGACTAAAACCTATTATGCGTTATAATGTCCCTGTTTATACCATCAGCCCAGCGCTCACAGCTCCTAGAAGCAGTTTTGAAAGCTGCAACTCAATTATAACTTTTGACATAAGTGAAGAGCTCAAAGCTCCCTGGTTGTTTGTTTAATTTGTGTAGGCGTAAATCCCCCCCATCTGTGGTCCCTATGACAACCGATTGGACGGATAGGTGCGTTCTACGGCGGGCAGTGTGAAAGGTTCTGTTGGCTGGTACTGTATGCATACTCTATGTTACTGTTTGTATTTCTTAACCGCTGACACTGTATGTCTCCAAGACAGATTTCCCCCGGGACAATAAAAATGTATCTATCAATCTGTTGAGGCTATTTCAAGGAGCTGTTTCTCAAAAATACATCTGAATGTCCACAGCGGGCAGGTGTCGCCCACTTTGTGATGTCGGGTACTTCTGCACTCATATATTCTGATGGATACGGTGCTACTGAAGCAGGAGTGTGAGTAAGACAATCAGTAAGACATATTGTCTAAGGACTTTTGCAGGTGCTGGCCGTCCAGAAAGCGCGATTTCAACCGGGCTTTGACGGCCATCTGGTTGTTATCCTTGGAGTGAGTGGATTGCATTCTAGCATTGGCATCCCATCTGTTCAGCAGAAATGAAATTAGACCAGCCAGGTGTGGTCTGTCTCTGGCTTCAACTGGCCTGGATTCACTTTTAAAAAAAAGTGAAAAGTTAAAAAAAAGACTGAAAATCTGTCCGAGAAACACTCACAGACCTCCACGTTCTTATGGATGAGACACACGCGTGGAGAGTCTCACGTGATCTCAAGCAGTCTACCGAGTTTTAATTTCCATCTGAATCCAGATTTAACTTAATGTCCCTTATATACATTTTGACAACTGATCGTTCCATATATGTGAAAAAGATGAGAAACAAAGAGATGTAAACACTGCAGATTTCTACGTTCTTGTTTGAACCAGATATCGATTTCAGCAACGCTAATCCTCAACTGGGAAGGACAGATCGATGAAAAGGTGCAGAGAGTGAGAGAAATGGGAGAAATTGATTTGAAATAGCAGACAGCTGGGAGGAAATCATTCCCATGTAGTATAATTCATAACTTCTAGTTCATTTAATGCAAAAAGGGGAACGATTTCAACATGCATGTTCACACCTTAAATATCTCCAGTTTCTTGCTTTGTATTTTAATTGTCCAAGGGTCAAATGTTTTGAAGTATCTATCGCTGAGGGTTAAAATGCTTTTCTTCATCGAATTGCTGTAGTCAGGTTTACTAATATTGCCGTGTTAAATACTTTTTTGGAAGTAGAAGTTTGAACGTCACGCAGAGCATGTTTGCTTTTCGAAAGCTGCGTTTTTGTCATTTCTGCACCCAATGTTAACTACCGTCACAGATTAACGTCACACACACTACGGTTCAAAAAACCAATCCTATAAATGAGACTCGTGATATTGAAAGTCCTGCGGTGTCGTAAAACACTGGGAAGACTTGCTGAGAGTGTCACTATTTCTTCACCTGATTCATTTGCCTTTGTCCCGAAGCTTCCACAAACATTTCGCCGACTACACCCTCAGTCTGAAAAAACAAACCTTCTGTGAAGTAAAAAGCCCCCATGCCTTTGTTGTTTCTTCCTCTTTCAGTACGTACTGTATTTACATTGGAGCTGGGACCAACTTTACATGACAAATTCACAGCATGGACAGCTAATAATGTCTCATTTACATTGCAAATATTTGAAACAGAAGCTTACGTTCTTTTAAGATTGATAGTATCTCAGTTTAATGTATAGACCATTATTTATCGGTGGAGGTTCTGGAAACAGAGACAGTTCCCTGTTACCTCAACGGGTGAATCTATACAGCGGAATGTAATTACTCTACTTTATATTTCTCTATATGTCTTGCGGGTGACCAATCATTTAAAGGTGAAACCTGTACATCAGGTACCTTAGATGACTGAGACCAATGTCACCAATTAAGGGGCAGTTTGAAATGTTAGGGAGGTATATGGACATTGCAAGGCTGCATATAAATGTGGTAAAAAAAGGTTTTGAATGTGTGAACATATGTGACAGATTTGTTTTTATACCAAATCACATGGAATCTAATTTTTTTTTTTTTTCAAATGAGATTTAGACCACTATTATATGTGTTCCTGATTCAGATGGTCAGACATTTCTCAATGCATTTCAAGGGAATTTTAAGTCACTCTAGCTTAACACTTCACATCAACTATCACAAAAGTCTCTCTCTACAAATCCCAGTTCTCATTATAATCTGTTGATCTGATCACAAATTGGCCAGCTTCCACTGGACATCAAATGAAAACATAAGCGGTTATAGAATTGCCTCCAGCGTTTATTTATTTACGTCAGTGTGCTGTCTGTGACATCTTTGTTATTTCCTTTTTCGCATGCGAGTCACCTCATAACCGTGATCAGTTCACAACTGGAATCGGATATCGGCCACAAGGATAACATGCGATACGCAATAAATCCAAATTGAGCACAAAGGGGCTCAGTGGGAGTGAAGCCTAGTGATGTCATGCACCGGCATAATCAGTTACATAACAGGGCCCGACTTCAAATTAGTGAGTCAAATCCAATGTAGTGTAGAATTGCGCATGAGACGCGCAGCTGATGGAGGTGTAGTTTACTACGACCGCCACTAGATGTCAGCAAAGGGGCGTGTTAAACTGAATGTGCTGTTTGAGTGGCTTCTAATGCTCCTCAAAGATTTCCTGGTGATCCTCACTGACTGTGTGTCTGACTTAGTGACTCATGCTTTTGATACATTTTGGTACATTAACTTTGCGTTGGCAATAAAGTAAACATGTTCACATGAATATTGATTAAGCAGTGCTAGCTATCATTTCCCTGTTCTATTGATAAACGTTAGAGCACAGCATTGGCAGTTGCTCTATCCTTTGTTTTCAGCACCTTTAGCGTCCCCTTATACAAAGATAATATCAGTTTAAGCTGCTGGTGTGCTACAATCCCACAGCAGCATCCTTCTGAGGATCTTGACAGTGAAAAAAAATGTAATAATTTTCTTTATGTGCAAATATTTATGATGCCATAAAACTGCATAGTTTAGAATTAACACCCACTAACTTTGCACGTGCGACATATCAGTGCGTTCTCCACTAGTCCTCCATAATTTGTTGTTCTATATGTAATTATACGTCTGCATGCATGCACGTGAGCTAGAACAGAAAACTTCAAATTCTTGTTAAATAATCCGTAGCGTCAGTAAGGATCAGCTGGGACTCGGTATTCTGTCTGCTTGAGTGCTGATTGCGTCCCAGTTGAATGTAGCGATGATGCCCACAGCTCTTTCCAGGCGTGAGGCCACTGATGACCCGGCCAACATTCACACATTATCACACACTCAATACTTACTCGGAGTGTCTCACTGATTCTATTTAACATACAATCCGACAGTGTTTAGCTGACAGCTGTATAATGTACGAATCAGCTTTATCACATGACCCTAGAAATACCACTTTTTACAAATCAACTTCAGGTCATTAGTCCTGAGGCTTCAATGCTTTAAATATTTACCATGACTCGGGCAAGCCATTGGATGGGTCTTTAGTTTTGCAATTTTTTTATTCACAGGCCTTTTTCAGGGCCTTAGATCTGGTTTAGGCTCTTTGGGTACACAAATCTCTGGGTGCCGAATTGGGTCACAGCTTTTCTAACAACGCACAAACCAGAAATAACCAATATATAATATGTGGATCTTTGACCAGCTAGATCTGCAATAAACAAAAATGTTAATGGGTTGAAACGAGTGAGCATAAGCACAAAAAAAAATCAAGACTTCTCCAACGTATGTAACAGGCAATCGGATGTGGTATTCGAGCTGCAGCTATGACTGACTGGAGTGAAAAACGAGAGAATACAGTGCTCGGGGTTAGCCTCGGTGTCTCTCACTCTTTGCTCCTCTCTTCAATACTATACTTGGTTGCTATGGAAACACACTTGTAGTGCTGGAGTCGTGAGGCCAGTCAGCTGAGATACCGCTTCCAGTAAACAATCAAGCCGACTATGTCCCCTATGCGTCCGAGTTTCTCAAATGATGTAGACATCAGCCAAAGTAGTCGGTGCCAGAGAGGTGGCAGGAGCCGGGGTGGAACCGACATTTTTCATCTTCTCTGTCAGAGCCCACTACATCTTGCCCCGCGTGGTCTTCATATGCAGATTTTCAGAGCAGTCACTTCATGCCTGTAATTATTTCTATAATGATAGGAATGTAGCTAAGACTAAGACTAACATAAGACAGGCCTAATGGTCTTTATTGACAATGCGTGAAACATCATCAGCAGATTAAACACTGCTTTACTATCATGTGCAGACCCGTCTGCACGTGACCTGTTGTTAATTAATAGTATGGGTGAAAGCATGAGCCCTTTGTCAGAAAGGGATGCTTCAATTCAATTCATCAGTTCAGCCCAGCCTCGTCTTTAGCCAAAGTAAATATGCTTAAAAGTTGCACTAACCTCACATTTAAAATGCAGATCTTGCTGTAATTGGCCTTGAAGATTAGCGGCCCAACAAATGTAGGATTCAAAAGTGAGATTGTCTTTTTTTGACAAAGTAAAAATACCTTGACCTACCTTGTTTGCTGGAGGATCAAGGCAGCAGCCTTCACAACACAAGAGCCACAGAACAACAAGACATAACAGCACTCCGCAATATAATTTCTAAACATGAAAAAAAGAGTTGACGCTTTTGCATTCAAAAAGGTTTTACTAAATTGGCTTTAAGACAGACTTATATAATATATATATATATATATATATATATATATATATATATATATATATATATATATTGGCTGGCACATTAAAGTCCCTGGCTGTAACTTGGGAATATAATAGCAGCTGTTAGTTGTTTGAATGTCAGAAAGAGAGTCATATTCATTCTTTGTACCTCAGAGTGAAGTTAATAAATAACCATTTATGACCGGAAAGCTGGATGATGCAAAAATGAATCATATGAAATAAAAGCAGCTTTTGTATCCTCCATGTTTCCCCTCGAATGAGGTGTTTGCCCAACAAACCTGTGATGTTCGGTACAGACTCTGTGACACAACTGTTCTTTCATCTGGAACGAAATCCGATCTAAAAAACCCAAAACCGACATCAGACAAGATGTGAAGAACCACAGCGCATTTAATTAAGAGTTCAAACTCTAATCAAATGTGCTGTTGATCTTCACTTTCCAGATGGGTTCCTCTCACTGTAAAGCGTCTCCTCCGATGCAGTTCTCAGCCTCTGTTTTCCGCCAGCTCGACTCTTGCCCACAGTTAAAGCAGTTAGCGTTAGGCCATTAATTGTATCAGAAAGCTAAAGGTGGAGCAAAGCCCTCCGGCCGTGGCTGACGGAGGGTGAATCGGGAAACACTATACCGCTTGTTTCTCTCTCTCTCTCACCATCGTTACTTTGGCTGCATCGGCCTACCTTCCAGAGGAGGCGGAACGATGACTTGGTTCCGCGGTAAGAAGTTCCTTTTGACGCAAGGAATCATTGTTATACATCATTGCTTTGGTGGCACAGGCGTATTTCGTCTCGCGGTATACGACGTTGTGGAAGCATCGACCGAATTAGCTCAAGACACATGGAGGCCGAGCGGCAATAGATAAGCCATTTGTTAAGCGTCATGCCAAGGCAAGCCATTGTGCTCCTGCACTACAGGCACTGATAATGAGAAAATATCAGTCCCTGGAGCTAACAGCCCCCCCCCACTGACAGAGAAAAGAGGCAGAGATGGAGAGAGGGAGCGAGTTAATGAGCTGTAGCATACACGTGTGTTTGCATGTGTCTGTGTGCACTCGCTTTTGTGAGTGACAAAGGCGAGGAGACAAAAAAAGAAGAAGTGAGAAATGAGGAGGGGAGGAGTGTTAATTGAGTATGATCACACCTCCAACATATTCCTCTATGTGAAACAGGCAGCATCAACCTGCCACCCACCCACACACACACACACATGCAAAACATCACCAGGTTCTACCCATTCTTTGAGCTTTAAATGTGTGCAAACATAATGTAAACAAATATATTAAAGAGGGCACAGGAAGAAGACATAAGAGCAGACGGTAGAATGAGCTCTGATCTCCTCCATGTATGCACCCTTATTGGCTAATTGAAATATGTCAGAAGCTTGGAGCCTCAGGGTCAATCATTGTCCCAAATCATTACACTCATTGATTGACGTCAATGCAAATTATCCCTGGTTGTTGATGTGAGTGAATCTGCAGGAGAAATGTTTATATCATGGAGCAAAATCCAGTCTGTTCGTTACCGATGAAGAAGGCTGTTCGTTGCACTCGTGCATCTGTCTTTTTGCCTTCAACGTTTGTTGAACCTTTTTCTTATGCACCGTTTCAACAGTCAAACTACCTTAGAATGTGTGTCACTGTCCCTATGCACTGTGGGTAAGCCCAAGTCTTAGTGATTTATTCAACGTTAATATGTCAATGGTATCTGCCTCAATGAAAGTGCTGCAGGTACACTTCTCTGTAAAAGAGGCAGATGACCACTGCAGTTCAACCATATTACTCAACGGTGGAGGTCTATGCCCCCCCCCCCTCCTCTTTCCCTCCCTCTCTCTCCCTCTCTCTCCCTCTCTGGCAGTCATCCTCTCCCGCCGCGCTGCTGAGGCTGCGACGTTAGCTGTGGATGGAAAAAAATAAAGCCATCTCCCTTTGCTTCAGCCAACGGACGCGTCATTTGGAAAGGAAATAAGTGAAGGTACTGTACAAAAAAGAATGCACGTCTTCATCTCAACACTTAACAACAATTTAGAAAATGTATTTTTTATTTATTTATTATGTATCCTTGGTCTGAGCAATGATGTGTGAAGCGACGGCGGAGCGGACATGCACCTGCACCACAGACTCCAACGCACGGTTGGGTCTGAGTCCTCTTGGTGCAACAGAAGCTCCGTGTTGATCTTACGGGGCTTTTCAGGCGAGGTCGGCATTAAGTGCGATTCCGGGCATTCCTGTGATATTTAAAAAAAATAAACATTTTATTACTGGGTATAAAGTCTGTATTCCCCGCGTTTTTGGCACAATTGTTGCTGAACCCGTTCTGTTTTTGCACGTCTGTGTGTAAATGGTGAACAGAAGTGATGCACACACCCCGCGAAGCCGGGCTGGTGTTCACGCTGGGTAATGCGGCGATAGGATGGACGCGCACAGGAGGCGACATGGACAGATGTGAGAGGAGGGATTTAGTATCGAGGGGGGAATCACGCAGGGGATAAAACTGGTAATGCGTGCGCGCGCGTGCGAACGTGTGTGTGTGTGCATGTGTGTGCGCGTGTTATCTCGTCTGTGTGTGTGTGTGTGTGTGTGTGTGTGTGTGTGTGTGTGTGTGTGTGTGTGTGTGTGTGTTTTTCATGGCGAATGATCCAGCTTTCCAGCAGCGTTTTGACCACTCAGTCTCACGACACGCGCCGCACTTTACCTGCAATGAGGGCTTCAGCGCGAGCTGCCTTGACTTGTCCCGCGCTCGTGCGCGCGTGAGATTCAGCGAGTGAGTGTATGAGAGACACAGAGAGAGAGAGAAAGGGGAGGGAGGGGAGGGAGGGAGGAGGGGGGCTGCCTACCAGCAGCAGCAACAGTGTCCAACTACTGACCGATGGCCCTCACAGACTCCCTCGCCCACGCATGTGTGACTGCCAGGCACGTGACCAGGCGGAGAAAATGTGAACATATATATATATATATATATATATATATATATTTTTAAATGGTCCGTCGTCGCGCGCGTTAAATAGAAATATCACGGTATTTGGCTAGAGCCCGGCGGGCCGGACGGAGCGCGGTGGTTCAGCACCACGGACAGCGCGCAGTGTGCACACATGTTGGAGGGATCAAGGGCTTCCGAGAGGAAACGTCATGCGCGTGCAGCATCTGGAATGAAGCGTGCACATATTTGCTTTATAGGCGATGGGAGAACAATGACAGGAAATGTTTGGTGTTGTTCTGGAGTAAGACAGATGGCACATTTCCTCCGTGTTGGTTTCCCCAGGCACATTTCCTTTCCTCTCAAACAACTATTTAACACCAATTATAAAGTATTTGAAAACCAGTGCAAGAATTTGGTCGGAATTAATATAAATAAAGTGAAATGAATAGCTTAAGAATAGATTGATTTTGATTAAATGTAGCTGTCAACCTGCGGCAGTGAACAGATGTTAGTTTCAAACTAAATACACACATCAACAGGAGGGCAATGTTTCTTAAATCAGTGATTGATCAATACTTAATAAGTGCTTCGCCGGGTTGGACTGCAAATGACAGAAGGGGTCTATCGGTTTGCTCAACCGTGGATACCTTCTTAAACAGCACAGTGAAATGCTTTCGCCACAGTCAACAAAAAAAGCCTCTCCCAGTGGCTTAACCATCCACGCCCCCATCAAGGAAAAATACATAAGGATCCTACGTCGAGCTACAATGCAGTAAAGCGCTGTACCCTACTTTGCCTTTGACCTTTTTGCATTGCTTCACTCACCTGGTGTATTTATTTGTCGCGCTCTATTTGTGTCCCTAAATCCATTTCCTCCTGATGTCTACGATGTCCTTCAAGGAAAGACGAGCGGTCCCCAATCAATGCAATCGTAGATCAGGAAAGAAGGATGAGAATGAGGCAGACCTGGAAGACCTAAATCACGACCACCCACCGACTAGACCCAATGCTTTGTCACTGTGACATTTTCAGTTCATCAGACGTCATAGTTCAGTAGCAGTGTCTGTTGGTTGCTCTCGAGAGGTTGATGGATGTTGTACTGAAAGAAACCTGAAATGCAATTTTCTTTTTGCCTCCTTCTCTTGTGTGAAATCCAACACACGCTAACTGATGTTGAGGAGCCCACCAGGTGAGCTAAATAAGTGGAAAATAGCAAGAACACCCAAATGAAAGATGGTGTTACTGCAGCAACGTAAACAAGGGTGCTGCAAAGGAATCATATAAGAATATGAATAATGTGTTGTGGGCTTGTTGTTCATTTCTTTCTCTGGTACGCTGATCAATCAACAGGTCGACAGCATCCTTTAATGTGATGGAGGCCATAGCAGTGGTACTTATGAGGAATGAGTAAATGTTTCAGCAGTCTCTCTCTTCACCGCTCAAGAATTAACAGGAATATCTAGTCGTTGTGGGCTGATTGATTGCAAGTATGACAGGATTTTGAGTAGTTACCAAACAGCTAATACTCCGAGCCTTTGAGTGCCGTTATATTTTCCTGACCTTGGCACACTGAGAGGCCAAGACAGTCAGACCTCCGTCTTATGAATCGGCTTTGCAAGCGGATGCAGGTCATATGGTGATGGTCCTGGCGCGGCGCATTGCAGTGATGGAATGCTCCTCTGGTCATGAAATGGTTGAGATTTTGAGGATTCTTTGTAGCCAATAAAACCGTCAACCCAATTCAAACGCACCAATTCACTTAAAGTATATTGTTCCGCGATTTCTGTCTGACGGGACACGCTGTTATAGATACAAAATGCAAAGGTTATGTGCAGTGCAGAAGGTGGCTGTCACTTGTTATCACTCTCATTATATCACCACAGCAAATGTCTTTGTGGAGTTATGGCCGTTAGCATTTCCATGTCCTAGATGCAATGTAACCTCTCGGGCGCACCCTGAATTCAAAATGTGAGAATGAAATCCGATATGACAGGTTTACAGGTTGATTGACGGGTCATTTAATACATAGACTACATGGTATTAATGCCACCGCTGCTGTAAAAGGTCTGCTTCAACCTGAGACGCTGGTCCTTTTTTACTGCAGTGTTCAGTTTATTCATTACTGAGGAAGACCTCCACAAAGACCCAATGCCCTATATGCAACTTTAACGAAAGTGTGGAATCTAAATAATTCATTTACACAAAAAAAGGGAGTGGAATTTACTCTGATTAGCCTCCCAGCTCAAATGTTTCTCTTGCTAAGTGCATATTCCAGGAAATAAGGACTGTCAGTTTTCTGGCTCACAGTTTGTTATCTCAAATACTTAGCATTCCCCACCAGCTCCACCTTCCCTGGCCTCCCTTCCCCAGCCACGCCCTCCAAATTGATTTCTGTATCCATCAGGAGGGATTATGCTAAGATCGTGAGAGGGATAACCCATCGGGAGACATTCACACTTGCTCATTCCGCATCACGTCCTCGGCCACAGCACACTGCGCTCTCTTTCAGCCTAACAGCTGTTGCAGTGCTCGGTGCAATCAATACGACAGTCATGTTTCACAACAACCGTCACTCCTTCACTGCCAGGAACCTGTGGGAGGTCCCCTTGGGCAGGAGACCGAGAGACATGGTAGACAGCAATTCACTGACGAGCTGTAAGAAATGCAACTGCGGGGTTTGTTCATTAGCTGTACGTTGGCGCGGTGGGAAAGTGTTGATTCCAAACCGCCGTTTTTATGGAATGCAAAAAAAAAAGAGAGTGTACAGCCGCATGCTTGGAAAGCAAGAAATCAGGGGAGGAATAAAGAGAAGGAAACAGCAGACGGATTAAGCAGACTCAAAACCAAAATGTTCAAGTAGAAAAGAAAAAAGGCAAAGAATAGAAAGTCAGTACTGAGGAGTTAGTAAACCTCAAAGGTTCAGCTGCTTAATCCCCACAAAAGACATCTGACAGTTAAGGTCATGTCTCATAACTGTGATTCGAATAGAGAGAAGGGTGACGGTGATCTGCAGACTGCATTTACAGTCCCATTTACAGCAGCAGAGACTTTACACCTGCCGCCGCAGTCCTGCTTCAATCAAATATTGCGATTGGGGATTTTGTCCTTTGAAGTCAGTTGGTTGTAGAGGCATATTTCTTTTCAACACCTTGAAAGCCAACTAGATCCATGGAAAGCACTACAGGCAACGCAGGGCCTGATAACCACCTTTTAGGAAATCACCAGACTACAAATACCAATGTCCAGTGAACCCGCAGCTGTCTTTGGGCAATCAGCCTAAAATATGGTATTCCCACTTCCATGCTAATAGACTCATAGCCCGGCGCTTTGCGGCTGTAATTGTAAGTGACAAAGTGGAGCAAAGTGACCTGACATTGACAAAATGCTTTTGACGGGGGGAAGCTGTTGAGCGGAAAGGAAGGGGGGGTCGCAGCCCTGCCCCGTTTGCAAGTGGGAAGGTGTTGGCTCTCTTGTGGGGTCATAGAGAAGTAGCGTGCATGTGTGTGCGTAGGCGTGTGCATGGACACACATCTCCCTTGGGTTCAGAAATACATGTCATGTCGTCTAAAACAGGATCTGTGAATATCTGCAGTACAGCAGCCACCACAAATAAACCGATTCAGGTAGTCGACTGCACACACACTGATGCTACGCGTGCTACTTTTGCTATATATACTGTATGCTGATATTTTACTTTTTTTTTGTAGAAGCACAGTATTGATATTCACACATTGCATCTGTACCGGTATGTGTGTTTCATTAGATTTACATTTAACATGTACAGTTTGTAATACATCAAATGGAAATACTGTTGAGTCTGCAATTTGGAATAAATAAATAGTTTCTTAAAACTCTGAAATTGTCAGTGAAATTTTAGATTTTATTTTTTTCTCTTAAAAAGCATTCGCTCAAGATGCACTACAACATCTGAATGTTACTTTGTGCTGTGGCCCAAACAGCAACATGACTTTTTTTTGGGAGAAAGAGTTATTTCAACACCGTGTGATGTGAGATGAAGCCAAGCGTTTGGACGGGTTTGGTTTTAATAATCTCCT